GTCTCAAAAAAAAAAAAAAAAAAAAAATACTTATTGATAAGTAATATTAGTAAATAGCATTTGTAAGTTTATTCTTTTAATTCTGTGATTCATTTGAGAGGCTGAAAACGTTGGCAGTTACTCTAGCTCCCAAATATAGCTATTTCATGGGTTTTGTTATTGTTGTTATTGTTTGTCTTTTGAGACAGGGTCTCGCTTTGCCTCTCAGACTGGAATGCAGTGGTATGATCATGGCTCATTGCAGCATCAACCTCCCAGGCTCAAGCAATCCTCTCACCTCAGCCTCCTAAGTGGCTGGGACCACATGCATGTGCCACCAACCATGCCCAGCAAATTTTTTTTTTTTTTTTTAGAGACAAAGTCTCATTATATTGCCCAGGTTGGTCTCTAATTCTGGGCGCAAACAGTCCTCCCACCTCGGCGTCCCACAGTGCTTGGATTATAGGCATGAGCCATTATGCCCAGCCTATTTCGTGATTTTTATCCCCTCCAACCAGTGACCCTGGAATGGATTGAAATAGACATTTCAAAAAATCCATGACCTACTGTTAAGATACACTATTGGTACTTTCCTACTCTCTTTTTTCTATTTATTAAATAAATACCTATAAGAAGCAACTATGTTTGTGCCAAGCATATGTCAAGTACTAATTTACAATACCAAATAAAACTTGGTCCTGGCCTTCAGGTTGCTTATTGTCTAGTGGGGCTTATGGGTAGGAAAATAATGCATATACAGTAACATTTATATTAAAAATCTCTATCCTAACTACCATTTCGAAATTCAGACCAGTGTATTTAGTATTTTTTGTAAATATTTATCCATAATATTACTGGTCTCCACTATTTGTGGTTTTTTGTTTTAATTTTAGCAAAACTAATGTTTCTCAGTACGTTTGGACAAAAAAGCAAGTGAACAGCAGCCTTTGGATGGGACATCAATATGACTTAATAGATTGAATGACAGAGGTGTCCTAAGTGATACTGCTTTTCTGTTACCAAATACAATGTTTTCATAATGAGTATCCCATGATCCTTGTTTTTAATTCCTTTTTTGGCCTCCAGTTAAGGGTAGAACTATAGTTTCAAAAGTTGACCTTAATTTTTTTCTTTATGCAATTTATATTCAGAAGTGTTTGGTTGATCTTGTGCTTCAACCTAAATCCTAAATGTTAGTATTTTAAATGTTATAGCAGCTACTAATAAATGTGGTCTGTAATGTTTATCGCCTTTGCAGATTAATATGTACATTCTCATAATACTCTTACATGTTACTTTTAAAATGAAAAATCTTACAGGGAAATGGCTTGCCCCCTTAATCTCTTACAGTATATAAGAAGCTGTATAATGCTTGGGAGGATGCCCAATTTGATGTTGATGGCTAAAGAAAGCCTTTATTCTCAACTGCCAATGGACTGTTTTACAATGCCATCTTATTCCAGACGCATTTCCACAGCTACACCATATATGAATGGAGAAACATCTACAAAATCCCTTTGGGTTATAAATAGTGCACTCAGAATAAAAATTCTTTGTGCAACCTACGTGAATGTAAATATTCGAGACATTGATAAGGTAAAGTCAAATGCTAATGCTTATTATTTTATAGAATTTATTTTATATAACCTTTTTCTTGAACTATGCAGTAATCTGTTGACCTGTAGTATGTTTTCAGATGGTTAGGAGAACACCCAAATCTCCGAATGTAAAAATATATCATGAATTTTACTTGAGCTTCCATCTACCTTAGCTATTATACAGCTCACAGTCCTTTGTTAATAATTCTAATATTCACAATTCTATCTCTTAAAATCAAAAGTTTTACAGAATTCATTTGGCAGAAAGACCTGAGCCAACCTTAAGTGAGGGTTTTAATAGTCTTTATTAACCCCACTTAGTATAAATATTCATGTATCTTATTAAAGAAATATTAATGTCTTTATGAGGTACTGCTTCATCAGCTAAGGAAAGTAGTATTTAGTAAGTACGTTTACTAATTTAGCTTTCTAAAATATGGAAGCTCTGAATTACATACCTGCCTTAAAGGGATTGTGGACCTATATTTATGTTTTAGTAGTCTGACGTCTCCATTGTTATTAGTGGATGAAGGCAGCAACTAATTTTGGTGAAGACTCTACATCAGTATTAACTTATTATATATGTGAAGAAAAGGAGAGCCAAGCTATATCTGAACAAAAATTCCGTGGTTTTATATTTGATTCTATCTAGTGTGTGCATATGTGTATGTTGAGTGTATACATTAGTAAATACATACTTTTTTCTTTTAGATCTATGTTCGAACAGGTATCTACCATGGAGGAGAACCCTTATGTGACAATGTGAACACTCAAAGAGTACCTTGTTCCAATCCCAGGTGAGGAAGTATATAGACTTATATTTCCAAAGGTTATATTAGTGTTTAGCAGTATGATCAATAAAAGTAGTATTTTTTTTAGACCAGCCTGGGCAACAAAGCAAGACCCCATCTCTACAAAACGTTTTTCTTAAAAATTAGCTAGGCACTGGCCAAGCACGGTGGCTCACGCCTGTAATCCCAGCACTTTGGGATGCTGAGGCAGGTGAATCATAAGGTCAGGAGTTTGAGACCAGCCTGGCCAAGATGGTGAAACCCCAACTCTACTAAAAATTTTAAAAATTAGCCAGAGGGTGGTGGGTGCCTGTAATCCCATCTACTCGGGTGACTGAGGCAGGAGAATCTCTTGAACCTGGGAGGCTGGGGTTGCAGTGAGCTGAGATCACACCACTGCACTCCAGCCTGGGCAACAGAGCGAGACTCCATCTCAAAAAATAAAAAAATTAGGCACAATGGCACGTGCCTGTAGTCCCAGCCATTAGGGAATTAGGGAGGCTGAGACAGGAGAATTGCTTGAGCCTGGGAGTTCCAGGCTGCAGTCAGCTCTGATCGTGCCACTGCATTCCAGCCTTAGTGAGATCTGATCTCAAAAAAAAAAAGTATATTTTTTATACTTCATCATTAGCTTTATACAAGCTATATTTTAATAAATTAACCAGAAATGTATATATAGACCAGCAAGACTTTCTGTCAAATGAGTATCAGTCACAGGATTATTTTATTGATTCTGTCTAAAGTTTTATCAGAATAGTTTCTGATTGTCTCTTTTCGTTGTATCAAAGAGAGAGCAGAGTATGGTTACAATTTTATGCTAATGATTCCCCACATTAGATTAAAAACCTAGCATTTTATTCTTTTCCTGTCTCCATCATCATTCACATGAAGGAGAAGTAAGAGTTGGCAAACAACTCCATAACCAAACTACCCTGAGGCAGTTTCCTTCAAATCACTCCCAAGAATAGATATTTATGACATTCAAATAAAGGGTCTTTGGGAGCAAATTAATTTATTAGGGGGAGAGGGAGTTATGGGGAAGATTTTAAATTATTACTGCCTGGATGTGATGAAGAAATAAAAAGTAGTATAATCCAATAGCTCACTATCCTGCATTTCTTTGCTTCTCTCTATAGAATCATTTTGGAATAAGAGTACCCCTGAATATAATAGCAGTAATATTTCAAGAGAACTCAAATTGTTACTGGACTTTATAATAAAATAACAATAGAGCTAACTAGTGACTCCTCCTGAAGTAAATCTCATAATGAAGTTAGACTGAGTTCTAAGACATTCAAGAAAAAGTTCTGGTCTTGTTGCTAAAGATTGCCACCCTTCTAGAGCCTGTGTAAAGTTCAAAGAGATGGTAGCCTTGTCTGCCACAGGGAAGGAAGATAGTTCCTCAGCCTGCATAAACCATTGTAGGTCAAAAAGCATATCATTCAGGTCAGAAATGAGATTGTGACAACAAACAACTTCAGGATTTTTTTTTTTTTTTTTTTTTTTTTGAGTCGAAGCCTCACTCTGTGGCCCAGGCTGGAGTACAGTCAAGTTTCAGCAGTTCTCTTACCTCAGTCTCCCGAGCAGCTGGGACTACAGGCACGTGCCACTGCGCCCCGCTAATTTTTTTGTATTTTCGGTGGAGAGTGGTTTCACCATGTTGGCCGGGCTGGTCTTGAACTTCTGACCTCAGGTGATCCACCCACCTCGGCCTCCCAAAGTGCTAGGATTACAGGCATAAGCCACCATGCCCGGCCAGGATCTTTTTAAATTCTTGCCAAAACAAGAGTTTATATCCCACTCATACCGTATGCCTCACACTGATTAGTGGGGTGGTTGTAGGAGGAAAAGAAAAACAACATTTTAGAAAATAATAGCCAGAATTTTTTCGTATTTGGTAAAAACTATAAACCTATCAATCCAAGGAGTTCAACAAGCCCCAAGCAAAGACCCCAGAATAATACTGGATAGAATTATCCTAGCTAGCTGTTTCACGTGCCAAAAGTTAAACTAGCTTATAAAAGTAAAAGATAGGCTGGGCGTGGTGGCTCATGCCTATAGTCCCAACACTTTGGGAGGCCAAGGCAGATGGATCATTTGAGCCCAGGAGTTTGAGACCACCCTGGGCTACATGGCAAAACACAGTCTACCAAAAATACAAAAAATTAGCCTGGGATCGTGGTGTGTGTAACTATAGTCCCAGCTACCCAGGAGGGTGAGGTGGGAGGATCACCTGAGCCCAGGGAGGTTGAGACTGCAGTGAGCCATGATCGTACTACTGCAGTCCAGTCTGGGGGGCAGAGTGATACCCTGACTCAAAAAAAAAAAGTAAAAGATAAATTTGTTTAATAATATATGATTAAAATGTTGAAATTTTAGTAAAATAGCTATTTAGAAGGGTCTGTATCTGTCTTTAAGCATTCTGTAGTCTAAAAGGTGAAGTATTTATGGTAGTAGTGTGAAAATGTAAGTAAACTTCTTAAACTTTTCTGTGCTGACAAAAACAAAAAATCAGATAAGTGAATATGAAGTTATTAAAAAGATAGAAAAGTAGATTTTAAAAATTCTTACTATTTGTTTCAAATCTGCTTCCTTTATGCTAGATAAATTAGATGCTTTATGATTTCTTCATGTTATGAGTATCTCCCAAAATCAGAATCAATTTGGACTATATACACACACACAACCATTTTCTAGAAACAAAGAACTTAATTGAGCGTGTGTATATGTGTGTGTGTTTGTGTGTTGTGGGATGGATGAACTTTAGAAGAAAAGAGAAACATGCTTTATTTTGTTAGCATAGGGCTGAACAAGTAGATTGGTAGAACATAGCTCTCTTAGAAAGAGTATAGAACACTTATTATTAATTTATGAGCACTTCTAAAGATTTCGGAGTAATAAAAAGTCTGGTACATTTAAGTAGATGTGTCTTTAATTTTTCTTTCTTTTTTTTAAGACAGAGTCTTGCTCTGTCACCCAGGCTGGAGTGCATGGCACAAACTCAGCTCACTGCAACCTCTCCCTCAGCCTCCTGAGTAGCTGGGATTACAGGCACCCACCGCCATGCCCAGCTAATGTTTGCATTTTTAGTACCCATGGGGCTTCACCATATCGGCCAGGCTGGTTTTGAACTCCTGACCTCAGGTGATCCGCCCGCCTTGGCCTCCCAAAGTGCTGGGATTACCGGTGTGAACCACCGCACCCGGCCTAATTTTTTTTAAATCATTGTGGACTTAAGTCCCATAACATTTTTCTCTATGTGTTTCTACAATTCTATTTATTACTGGGCATGGTAGTATGCATCTGAAATCCCAGATACTCAGGAGGCTAAGGGTGGCTGAGGCAAGGATCGCTTGAGCCCAGGAGTTTGAAGCTGTAATGCACTGTGTCATGCCTGTGAATAGCCACTGCACTTTAGCCTGGGCACATAATACCCTATCTCTAAAAAATAATAATAATAATAACATTTGTTGTTTCTTTTACCTTTAGAATTCTTGCTAAATTTCCCCATTTTAAATGTGTCTTCTTTCTATAAATAGACCATATTTTAAATAATCTTTGTCCATACTTCAGCAAAAATACTAGAATAAATGGAACTTATTTTACTGATGAAGTTTATTACTTAGTTTGGCTAATTAAAAATAGAATTTTTATACTGTTTTATTGTTGATTAAGAATTACTTTATTTATAATCAAGATTAGACCAGAATGATAAAGAAGACATTTGAAAAGTTTTTAAAGTTACTGTCTAACATATGAGCTTCTATCATGGGCCAGTTGCTATTCTAATTCCTTTGCTTGTGTTATCTCATTTAATTTTTTGAGATAGTTATCAGCCTTATGAAGGTAGGTACTATTATTAGTCCCATTTCATAGAGGAGGCAAAAGACAAAGCAAGGGTCACACAGTTAGTGAAAAAGGGGAAATAAGATTCTACTCCAGTCTGATTTCTGAGCCCATACTCTATCCGTTATTGTAATGTTATTTTAAAATACAAAACTATTTATTGTATGTGGTTCTTTACAAATATGTTCACCAAAGACAGACATAATTTCACATGTAGCACCCAGTAAATTGAGGAAATTTGTCATTAAAATTTGAATAATTTTTTTATCTTGTTCACTTTTTGTAGCAGTGTTTTATTCTTCCCTTATGAATGTGAAGTTTTATTACCTTTTATAAAATAATTATTCTTCAATTCAAATACTTTATGTATCCATCACTTTATTTACCTACTGATTTATTTAGATTAGTGGATTCCTTTGGATAAAACTATATTATGTATGAAAGTAACTAAATATAATCATAATAGGAAATCTCATTTTACCTTGTTTAGTTTTCCTTTTCTATTCAACTTTTATGAGCAAAATTACATATATATAAATAATATATATTCATAATATGTATTTATATTATGTATATATTATAAATATAAATAAGTTTTTTAGTGACGTGTGTAGCACACATGCATAAAAGTATACAAACCATAGTTGTATAGTTCAGTCACAAAGTAAATAAATACCCATGTCTTCTGCTTCTAACAAATGCACACATTTCTGTGGTTTTATTCCTAGAATTGGAGCTGGGGGTCACAGGGAATACATATGCTCACTTTTATTTGATTATGCTTTCCAAATTGGTTGTAACAAATTATACCCCCATACTCTTTAGTGTATGAGATTTCCTATTACTGCATGACTTTACCACCCCTTGGCATCATCAGTCTTTATAGTTTAGCCATTCTTATGTATAGTGATATCTCCATAAGATTTTAATTTTCATTTTCTGTATGACTAATAATGACTCCCTTTTCGTGTTTAACTATTTGAATATGATCTTATAAAGTGCCTTTCCAAACAGTCTCTTGCCTGTTTGTCGTTTGGTTGATCTTTTTCTTGGTGATTTGTAGGAGTCATTTATATACTTTGGATGAAGACTTTTTTTGATACATTATTTTTTCTTTAAAATTTTACATAGGTGGAATGAATGGCTGAATTATGATATATACATTCCTGACCTTCCTCGTGCTGCTCGACTTTGCCTTTCCATTTGCTCTGTTAAAGGCCGAAAGGGTGCTAAAGAGGTAAAGTATTTCAAAAGGAACAATTATGTTTACCTTTATCTTTATTTATTTATTTATTTATTTTAGGTAAAGATAGATGTTTATTTGACAAATAAAACATGTATAAATAAAGTAAATCTTTTTTTTTCTTTTTTTTATTATACTTTATTTTCTAGGGTACATGTGTACAACGTGCAGGTTTGTTACATATGTATACATGTGCCATGTTGGTGTGCTGCACCCATTAACTTGTCATTTACATTAGGTATATCTCCTAATGCTATCCCTCCCCGCTCCCCTCAACCACGACAGGTCCAAGTGTGTGATGTTCCCCTTCCCATGAATTATGTTTACCTTTAAAAACTCCTGATTATACCACTGATTGAATTTTTTGACAAAATGGATGTTATTTTTTATTTAAGAAAATATTAATAAATCAAACCTATTTTTAAATTTTTAACAAATATAGAAGAATACCTTGGGAGAGCTTCAGGAATTTATTTATGATGAATATGTTTTGAGTTCTTATTGATACCATTTTTAAAAATGCGAAGTGACTATATAACAGGCATTGTATGCAAATATCTCATGCTTGCTTTGGTTCATATTTTCTGTTTATAATTAAAATACATGTAATTTCAAATGGGGAAAAAGGAAAGAATGGGCTTAAGCTTTGAAAAATCAACTTTTTTTTTTAGATATTATATTCCCATTATTATAGAGATGATTGTTGAATTTTCCTTTCTGGCGAAGAAAAGTGTTTTGAAATGTGTTTTATAATTTAGACTAGCGAGTATTTTTCTTTGTTTTTTAAGGAACACTGTCCATTGGCATGGGGAAATATAAACTTGTTTGATTACACAGACACTCTAGTATCTGGAAAAATGGCTTTGAATCTTTGGCCAGTACCTCATGGATTAGAAGATTTGCTGAACCCTATTGGTGTTACTGGATCAAATCCAAATAAAGTAAGGTTTTTATTGTCATAAATTAGATGACAGTCTAATTTATATTGACTATAGTGGCAGTCAAGCCTTCTCTCTTATGTATATATAATAGCTTTTCTTCCATCTCTTAGGAAACTCCATGCTTAGAGTTGGAGTTTGACTGGTTCAGCAGTGTGGTAAAGTTCCCAGATATGTCAGTGATTGAAGAGCATGCCAATTGGTCTGTGTCCCGAGAAGCAGGATTTAGCTATTCCCACGCAGGACTGGTAAGGCAAATCACTGAGTTTATTAAGTGTCAGTCATAATCTGTGGATTTAGGTACATACTTTCTTTATGGAAAAGGATCCATGTATTTTACTGGCATAGATACTGTGAGCTCTAGGACCAATATTGCAATATAATTAAGTTCTCTGTATGCTAATATTTTACTGCAACTCTGCTTTTTTAAAGCCTTCATTCATTTAACGAATATTTATTGAGTGCCAACTCTGTGTAAAGCACTGGGAAAGGCACTAGGTAATAAAGTCATGAACTAAACAGACTTTCACTGAGTATGCACTCTAATGGTGAAAATAGATATTAAGCAGATAAAAGCAGAAATATAAGATTACGGTTGACCCTTGAACAACGTGGATTTGAACTACACTGATCTACTTATATGTGGATTTTTTTCAATAAATACATTGGAAAATTTTTCGGAGATTTGTGACAATTTGAAAATACTTGGAGACAAACTACATAGCCTAGAAGTATTAAAAAAAAGACTGAAGTTAGGTATGTCATGAATCCATAAAATATATGTAGATACAAGTCTATTTTATCATTTACCACCATAAAATATACACAAATCTATTATAAAAAGTTAAAATTTATCAAAACATACACACACAAACACAGACCATACATGGTACTACTCATAGTCAAGAGAAATGCAGAATACATAAAGATGCAATATTAAATTGTATCTGCATAAAATTAACTGTAGTACATACTGTACTACTGTAATAATTTCATAGCCACCTCCTGTTGCTATTGTAGTAAGCTCAAGCATTGCAGATATACACTTAAAATGCTATGTAGGCTGGGCGCAGTGGCTCACGCCTATAATCCCACCACTTTGGGAGACCGAGGCGGGTGAATCACCTGAGGTCAGGAGTTTGAGATCAGCCTGGCCAACATGGTGAAATCCCGTCTCTACTAAAAATACAAAAAGCCAGGTGTGGTGGCATGTGTCTGTAATCCCAGCTACTTGGGAGGCTAAGTTAGGAGAATCGCTTGAACCCGGGAGGCAGAGGTTGCATTGAGCCGAGATCATGCCATTGCATTCCAGCCTGGGCGACAGAGCAAGACTCTTTCTGAAAAAACAAAACAAACAAACAAATGCTGTGTAATGCTGATCATCTCTACATGAGCACTTCATCACTTCAGTAAATTGTTTATTGCAGTAAAAAGTGATCTCTCTCAGTTCTTGCATATTTTTTGTCATGGTTAGTGCAATACCGTCAACACTGAATAACACTATGAAGCCTGTGAGGAGAGCCTCTAGTGATGCTGGAGGTGCTCTCAAGAAGCAGAGAAAAGTCATGAGATTACAGGCAAAAAGTTGAATTGCTTGATGTGTACCATATATTGAGGTCTGCAGTTGTAGTTGCCCTTATTTCAGACAGACAACTCATCTTGTAAACAGACAACATACACTTTTCTTTGTTTGTTTTTGTTTTTTTGAGATGGAGTTTTGCTCTTATTGCTCAGACTAGAGTGCAGTGGAGCGATCTTGGCTCACTGCAACCTCCGCCTCCAGGGTTCAAGCAATTCTCCTGCCTCAGCCTCCTGAGTAGCTGGGATTATAGGCATGCGCCACCATGCCCAGCTAATTTTTGTATTTTTAGTAGGGATGGGGTGTCTCCATGCTGGTCAGGCTGGTCTTGAACTCCTAACCTCAGGTGATCCACCCACCTCAGCCTCCCAAAGTGCTGGGATTACAGGTGTGAGCCACCGCGCCCAGCCAAACTTTTTTTTTTTAATAAGAGGTTGGGTAAGTGGCTCATGCCTGTAATCCTAGCATTTTTTGGAGGCCGAGGCAGGTGGATCACGAGGTCAGGAGTTCGAGACCAGCCTGGCCAGTATGGTGAAACCCCATCTCTACTAAAAATACAAAAATTAGCTGGGCGTTGTGGCATATGCCTGTTAGCTACTTGGGAGGCTGAGGCAGGAGAATCGCTTGAACCTGGGAGGCAAATGTTGCAGTGAACCGAGATTGCGCCACTGCATTCCAGCCTGGGCAACAGAGTGAGACTCCATCTCAAAAAACAAAAAACAAGAGAGAGAGGTGGGGTCTCACTATGTTGCCTGGGCTGGTCTCGAACTCCTGAGCTCAAGTGATCCTCTCTCCGCTACCTCCCAAAGTGCTAGGATTACAGGTGTGGGCCATCATGCCCGGCCAAAAGACAGCATCAATGTACAGTATCAGTAAACACAGTATAGTACTATAAATGAATTTTCTCTTCCTTATGATTTTCTTAATGACGTTTTCTTTTCACTGTCTTTCTATTCCAAGAATATAGTGTATAGTACATATGTACCAAGTAAGTGTTAATCAACTGTTTATGTTTCTGTTAAGACTTCCAGTCTACAGTAGGCATTTGTAGTTAAGTTTTTGGGGAGTCAAAATTTATACATGGATTTTCAATTGTACAGGAGATCAGTGCCCCTATCCCCTATATTGTCCAAGGGTCAGCTGTATAAATCATGTTAAGTGCCAGGAAGGAAAAACAATAGTGAGCTAAGAATAACTAACTGAGGATTTGTGGGGAAAAGCAAATATATATATATATATTTCAGGAAAGACCTCTCTGAGATAGTCACCTTGAAGTTGAGACTGAAGTACAGCTATACCTCTGAGGTATTGTGAGTTTGATTCTAGACCACTGTACTAAAGCAAAAATCACAAAAGAGTCACAAATGTTTTGGTTTCCCAGTGCATATAAAAGTTCTGTTCACATTATACTGTCATCTGTAAAGTGTGTGATAGCTTTATGTCTAACACAACAATGTACATACTTTAAAAATACTGCTAAAAAATGCTGATGATCATCCAAGCCTTCAGCAAGTTGTAATCTTTTTGCTGGTGGAGGGTCTTGCCTCAGTGTTGATGACTGCTGACTCATCAAGCTGGTGGTTGCTGAAGTAACGTTAGACTGGCTACAGCAATTTCTTTAAGACGACAATGAAGTTTGCCACATTGATTGACCCTTCCTTTCATGAAAGATTTCTCTGCAGCATGTGATGCTATTTGATAGCATTTTACCCACAATAGAACTTCTTTCAGATTTTGGAGTCAGTCCTCTCAAAACCCGCCATTGCAGTTAACCAGCTGTGTTAGCTCCTAACAAGAGAGTCAGCCCGAAGCTTTGAAACCAGGCATTAACTTCTGTTCTCTAGCTGTGAAAGTCCTAAATGGCATCTTCTTCCATTATAAGACTCTTTTGTTTACATTGAAAATCTGTTGCTTAGTGTAGCCACCTTCATCAGTTATCTTGGCTAGATCTTCTGGAGAACTTGCAGCAGCTTCTCCATCAGCACTTGCTGCTTCACAGCTTCTTTTTTAAACCTCTTAAACCAACCTCTGCTAGCTTCAAACTTCTCCTCTGCAGCGTCTTTGTCTCTCTCAATATTCATAGAATTGAAAAGAGTTAACGGCCTTGCTCTGGATTAGGCTTTGACTTAAGGAAAAGTTGTGGCTGGTTTGATCTTCTATCTAGACCACTAAAACTTTCTCCATTTCAGCATTAAGGCTGTTTTGTTTTCTTATACTTCATTCACTGAAGTAGCACTTTTAGTTTCCTTCAGGAACTTTTCCTTTGCATTCACAACTTGGCTATTTGGCACCAGAGGCCTAGCCTTTGGCCTGTATGGCTTTTGACATGCATTTCTCACAAAGCTTTATCATTTCTAGCTTTTGATGTGAATGAAGCAAGAGACACGGCACTCTTCCTTTCACTTGAACATTTAGAGGCCATTGTAGGGTTATTAATTGGCCAAATTTCAATATTGTTGTGTCTCAGGGAATAGAGAGTCCTGAGAGGAGGGGGAAAGATGAGCAAGGGTTGGTTGGTGAAGAAGTCGGAACATATAACACTTATCGAATAAGTTCACCATCTTAATTGGCTCATAGTGCCCCCCAGTTGCATCAATGATCTTTGATCACAGATCATCATAATGTATAATAATAATGAAAAGTTTAAAATATTATAAGAATTACCAAAATGTGACACAGAGATAAAAAATGAATACATGCATTTGGAAAAACAGTGCCAGGAGACTTGCTTTATGTAGGGATACCACCACAAACCTTCAGTTTGTTGGAAATGCAGTATCTGTGAGGTATAGTAAAGCAAAGCACAATAATACAGGGTACGCCTGCATAAATACATTGTTAGTTAAGCTTGGAAGCAGAGAAAACAGCAGGTCTTCACCACGTTATCCCAGGTTCCCCAGGAAAGAGTGTATATAAGGTGGAATTTAAATATTGATCTGGTTGTCTAATCTTGGCCATAGCTTTGGAACCACAGTATAACTAGGTTCAGGAACCATTAACTCTCCCTGATTTCTCAAGGGCAAAAGTGTCAATGCCAAGAGAAGATGTTTGTGTTCATTGGTGTTTCCAAATGTATTACTTTTTCTTTGGCCTTGTTGGCTATAGATAAACCAGCCAATTAATTTTGGGCCAAGAAGTCCATAACACATGTATCCCATTAACAGTAACAGCAGCACCAAGACCTGGTATATTGCACTTAGGAATCCTGATTTATTGATTCATAGCTGTGTTCTCAGTAAGGCGTTTACCACTACTTTTTGGAAAATGAATTATCTTTTCTGCATATATAATTTAAAATATATGACTTTATTTTTTGAACAATTCTAACTCTTTGTAAGGATTGATATTTGATGACTATTCTTTCTTAAAAGAACTTTTATTTCAAAGAAAAGAAATCTGCTTATTTTATAGTAGAATAAAACTTCTATTTTTCAGTTACAATTTGTATCTATTGGAAACTTGTGAATCTAAGATATGACATGGGATCTTAGTTTTTCTGTATCTTAAATATTTTACTATTTCATCATTCTAGAAATTAGTTTATCCATATTCATTATTTCCAACTATGCTAAAAAAAAGACTAAAATAATATGAAAATATAAAAGAAGGATAGAATAGCCTAGAAGGATGATAAAATAGTGAAGTAAATCATCACGTTACATCATCCTTCAGTTTTCTTATTGCATTGCCCAGTGTCTTGCATCATCTTTCCAGAAGCATAGAAGAAATCTGCAGACACTGTCTTTGTAATTTTTTTGTTTAGTTGGTTGGTTTCTTTTAGGCTTTCATTGGACACTTGAGAATCAGAATTTTTCACTTTTCACCCAGAATGATGACAGATGAAAACTGATCGAGGAAGATATTTCACAAGCATTAGAGAAATCGTAATATGAATGCAGATAGATAGTAGCAGCCTAGAGCAGTTTCCCAACCTCAGCACTATTGACATTTTGCACCAAATAATTCTTTGTTGTAGGAGCCGTTCTGTATGTGCAATCCAGGATGTAGCATCCCTGTCCTCTACCCTACTGCAGGCCAGTAGTGCCATCCTGCTAAGTTATGGCCATCAAAAATGTCTCCAGACATTAGCCAAGGTTCCTGGGAGGTCAGGAGGACATAAAATCACCCTAGTTGATAACCACTACTCTAAACGCTAATCATGCTGAAGTTTATTATATAAATGAAATGTCAGATGACAGTACCTAAACTGTCTCTTAGTTATCTTAAGTCTTCTCAAACTCAAGATAATGATGAGTAAAGAATATATTTCTAACAACAAAAAGGAAATTTGGTAGTATTTCTAAAGACAGAAAGGAAATTTGTATTCACATTCAGTTAGTCATTCCACCAGAATGACTTCATCACACAGTATTTTGTGACAAGAACCTGAACAGCCTCATGTTTTACAATATTCTTTTCATCTTTTCCTATATGCACCAAAAATTTTTTTTAATTTTCTTGAACCTCTAAATCTACTTTAACAATTTACCTGATACACTGTTTAAATGGACAAATGCTGAAAGTAGCTGTGTATACAAATGTGACTAGAAGGAAAAAGATGATGTAGAAATAAAATAACTCCTTGAGCGACTCATTCTGATTGGTATTTATAGAGTAGTAATGTTTTGCAGTTACAGAGGAAAAAAGATGGCCCTTCCTTCAACAGTTATGAGCCGTCAGAGTTTTCAAAAATATTGCATTTTGACAATGTAGTTTCTAGTTTGACAATGATATATTTATCTTCAAAACCAGAAAAATGTAGATAAGAATTTGGTTTTATAATATTTAAATTCTTATTAAAATGTCTAATAAAATTGTTTTCCCCATCACTTTATTCTTTAAGTTATTTTACATTTAAAATGTAAACAAATAAAAATAAGTAAATAAACAGTAGCAACTTCTTTTCCTGGTAAATCGAGGATTGAGTATGTATTCTCTCTTTCCTGGACTATTGCAATAACCTCCTAACTGGTCTCCCTCCTTTCACAGAGAAGCCATAATAATCTTTATGAAGTACAAATCAAATCAAGGTATTCATTCTTTAAATAGCTATCAATAAAAATAAAATCCCAACTTTATACACTGGCCTGCAAATTTTATGTGGTCTGAATTCAGCTTACATTTCTTCTCTCCCTTGTCTGTTGCCCATCAGGCTCACTGGCTTTCTTCCTTCACACCAAACTAGTTATTTCTGGGGTGGGAGGAAGGCTTTCAGTGTTTTCTCCATCTGCAATAGTCTTTCCCTAAGTAGTGTGGATAAAGGTTCCTTCTTGTTACTTGAATCACAAATACTGTGTTCTCAATCATTCTCTGTTACATCATCCAGAGTACCTTATATCAATTTTCCAATATTTTTATTTATTTGATTTCCCACTATAACTGAGGCTCTGTTAGTGCAGAGTCTTTTACTATTTTGTAATCCCAACAGCAAGAACAAAACAAGGTACATAGTACATATTTAATAAATACTTGAACAAATATGTGCCAGTAATATTTCTTCATCCTGCTGAATAAGTTAACAGCATATAAACACATACAAACCAGGTGGCATGGGTGTCTGCTTTCATTTTTAGCCACTTAGAAATATATGTAACCCATCCTAAGGGGTTTATATTTGTTTTGCATAATACATTAATATGTACTCATTGTTCATTACACAGTTAATATATCTATATTTGCAGGGAGTATACATTGCTTGGAATTATACAAAAAAATTTTTAATTTTCTAATATTCAGGATACAGTGTTTTAATGGGGGTGTTTTTCATTCTTTTTTTCTTACTGATTTCTACTTTTTAAATTTGAAAGCCTTGCAGTGATCATAAGGATTTGTTTAGGCAAAGGACATGAAAGAGTTTACATTTTTATTATTTTAGTGTTTCTTACTCTCTTATATCAAAAACATTCACAGATAAGTTAACAAGATCCTCGTCAGGAGGAAAAGTAAATTGTTCACTACCATCCTCTAGTATCCTAATCTGGTCTTGTTGTTGGCTAACTTCAGCAGTTACTATTCTGTGATTGGTGTAATATTAACCAAATAAATTACTGGATTTGTTCCACAAATATTATATCTTAGATTGGCTCTTTCCTGTCTCTGAAAATAAAGTCTTGCAATGAGAATAAATTATTTTACAAGAGTTAATTAGCGATGTAAAGTTTATTGAAAATTTATTTGCTTTTTTTGTAAATCATCCATGAATCCAGAGGGGGAAAATATGACCAAAAAAAACTACATAAGATATAATTTTATTTTACAGAGTAACAGGCTAGCTAGAGACAATGAGTTAAGGGAAAATGACAAAGAACAGCTCAAAGCAATTTCTACACGAGATCCTCTCTCTGAAATCACTGAGCAGGAGAAAGATTTTCTGTGGAGCCACAGGTAAGTGCTAAAATGGAGATTCTCTGTTTCTTTTTCTTTATTGCAGAAAAAATAACTGACTTTGCTGATCTCGGTATATTTTTACCATACCTATTAGAATAAATGAAGTAGAATTTACATGATTTTTAAACTATAAACATTGCCTTTTTAAAAACAATGGCTGTAAATTGATACTTGTAGAAAATCATACTACATTGGTAGTTGGCACATTAAATGCTTTTTCTTACTCTGAATTCCTGATACGACTTTCTTTAGGATTGTTTAAAATAGTAGTTTTAGGTCAATTTAGATATGATTTAGTTGGTCTAGATATTATTATTTTTAGGGTTTCCCTTTCATTTTTCTTTTTTCTTACGTTTCTTCAAATAGTATAATGCCTTATTTTCATTTATGAAGAAACTACCCTGCTGTTGGTGATACTGGTATACTTAAATAAACCAGTTGCAGTGCATTTCTGCAGAAAGTCCATTAAGACATAAATTTTGTCCAGTAATCATAGTAGAAGTGGTGACTCTATAATTCATTCATATTGCATAAGTAGATGAAAAATATGAACTATATGAAGAGTGGTATAACATATATTCATAATTTTTCTTAACTATTAACTAAATTTAAGTACTTTATAATCCATTTGCATTTTCCTTTTGTGTTCTTTGCCATTATAACTGTGCCTAAGTATGTATGTAAATATATTTCCAACTGTAGTGTTAAGCACTGATGTCCTTTGAATTTTAAAAAGGCTAGTAATGTAAGAAGTTTGGGACTTCTTACAGATTGCATATTGAGAAGTTAGACATGTAAACCTTTTGAATAGCATGCAAGAGTGTTTATTTTTATTTTGTTTCTCCCACACAGACACTATTGTGTAACTATCCCCGAAATTCTACCCAAATTGCTTCTGTCTGTTAAATGGAATTCTAGAGATGAAGTAGCCCAGGTAAATGTATGTTTGAGAATACTAGATAACTGTTGTACAAATTGGTATGTCACTTAAATTGTTTTCTCTCAGAAAGTCTGCATAAATAAAAGAAATGAAATAGACTAATAATAGTAATATAGTGTAGAAAAAATACCCTTAACATTATTTCCACAGATAAAACTAATTAGAACTGTAAATTCTAAGGAGGTTATTTATCTAAACTAATTTTAAAATCAGAAGTTAAGGCAGTGTTTTAGATGGCTCATTCACAACTGTCTTTCCCCTTTAAATATGATTTATTGTCTTTCTCATATACAGATGTATTGCTTGGTAAAAGACTGGCCTCCAATCAAACCTGAACAGGCTATGGAACTTCTGGACTGTAATTACCCAGATCCTATGGTTCGAGGTTTTGCTGTTCGGTGCTTGGAAAAATATTTAACAGATGACAAACTTTCTCAGTATTTAATTCAGCTAGTACAGGTAAAATAATGTAAAATAGTAAATAATGTTTAATTAAAATAGTAATTTATTCTAGATCCATACAACTTCCTTTTTAAAAACCTGCACTAACTAGTTTTATGCTTTAGAAAAAAAAAATTTATGACCAGTAATAGCCACTTTCTTTCTGAAAAAATTTTCTTTAGCTCAGCCATGCAGAAACTGACCCTGATTTGTTTTTTGTTTTTGAATCACCTAGGTCCTAAAATATGAACAATATTTGGATAACTTGCTTGTGAGATTTTTACTGAAGAAAGCATTGACTAATCAAAGGATTGGGCACTTTTTCTTTTGGCATTTAAAGTAAGTCTAATTATTTTCCCATTAAATTCTTAAGGTACATATTACTTGCTTTCTTAATAGACTTACAAATATGTATTACTTGTATACCCTTGTTTATGTTTGGCTGGAAGAGTTTTCCATACTAAAAGTATTTTGTACCAGTGATGAGCTTCTCAACTTTTGCTCTTTGAAATTTAAAAAGTAATAAATTCAAAACTAAATTTTAGTCATGAATGAGAGCTGAAATATTTTTAAAGATTTTTGTTCTACTTAAGTAAAATTTTCTAGGTCCAGATGAGTATTGCTGTAGGTTTCACTGTGCGTGGGGATTAAAATATCCCAAAAAAAAGAAAAAAATGTTTTACCTTGAAATTCAGAAAAATAATGTCAAACTCCTATGGTTCTTATTGAAAAACAAGCTAATTAAGAATAAAAAATATTTTGTAGAATGTGATATATCTAGTACTCAAAAGTTACAGATCATAAACCATATAATTTGGCATAAATTTAGAAAGATTTATATCTAATATGATTTTTTAAGTGTTAAAATTTAAAAATGGAACCCAGAAGTTAAGTTGAAAACAAGAAGCATAGGCGTGTGTCAGAAGAATCAAATAGCATTCATTGAGCGCTTTGTTCCCTCCCTCTTCATTTGATTATTTTTGTACTCAATTTCCTTTTTTCATGTTTTTATATCTTGTACTGAGATTAGTAAATGAAAACTAGTTGAAATAAATCTAAAAACTAGATGTTTATTTAATCACATATTCAGGAACTACCTGAAACTCATATTGGTTTTGCTTCTAAATTACAGGTTTTGAATAATTTTGTTATTAGTGTGATTGCAACATTTATTGGATTTCGAAAATGAGTGTTTAAATTGTTCAGCAAAGATTATTTGTATACTCAGTTAAGACTATTATATATATATTTTTAATTTTGCATGATTCTTTTAGATCTGAGATGCACAATAAAACAGTTAGCCAGAGGTTTGGCCTGCTTTTGGAGTCCTATTGTCGTGCATGTGGGATGTATTTGAAGCACCTGAATAGGCAAGTCGAGGCAATGGAAAAGCTCATTAACTTAACTGACATTCTCAAACAGGAGAAAAAGGATGAAACACAAAAGGTGTGTACTCTAGTTTGTGTTTGAGACTCTTTTCATTGCAATGGGGCAGAGTTGTTTAGAAGCTCAGTGTATATACAGATCATGGTCCTTGGAATCAAGCAGATTAGGATTTGGAACCAAGTTCCACTGCCTTTCAGCTGTGTAGTGTTAGACACATTATGTAGGCTCTCAAGACTCATTTTCTTTGTCTGTAAAATGGGAATAGTACCTGCTTCGTAAGGCCATTGTGAGAATTAAATTACATGAGTTATGCAAAGAACCTGTCACAATCCTTGGAACATAGAAAGTGCCCAATAAATGTTAGATCCCTTTACTTTCCCTTCCTTTCTCTTATTCAGGTCCCTAAGTATTTACAGTGATTATTTCCTTATTCTGTCATTTATTGTCTCTCAGTAATGACCCTGAAAATGAGTGGAAAGAAGTTAGTTTTTACATTTCCAAGTTTAAAATGGATTTCGAGTCACTCAGTAAATATATCACACACTCTAGTCATCTGCAGTCTAGCTTAGTATAACTAAGAGTAGGAAATATAACGTAAACTTTTTTTTTTTTTTTTGAGACAGAGTCTGACTCTTTTGCCCAGGCTGGAATGCAGTGGTGCAATTTCGGCTCACTGCAGCCTTGACCTCCTGGGTTCAGGCCATCCTACCACCTCAGCCTCCCGAGTAGCTGGGACTATAGGAGCATGCCACCACTCCCAGCTAAATTTTTTATTTTTAGTAGAGACAGCGTTTCGCCTTGTTGCCCAGGCTGGTCTCCAACTCCTGGACTCAAGCAGTCTGCCCACCTCGGCCTCCCAAAGTGCTGGAATTACAGGCATGAGCCACTGTGTCTAGCCCAATGTAAACTTTTTTATGACCTTTTCCTACACCCTAATCTTTATTCAATCCAATCCACCACATCCTAAATTCACCACCTCTTACACTTAAAAGGAAGCTCATTCCTCACCTCTAGTGAAATGAAAACAAAAAAAAATCGTTTATTAGTGAGTCACCAAAGGACAGAGAATGTAAGTTAGCAGTACTGAATGAATTTTTCCAACATCTTCATTACTAGTACTTGAAGGAAAAAAAAAATTTAAAAGAAAGTTACTGTATTAATGTAAATGTCATACAGTGTATGAGTTGATTTTATTCAAGTGTGATATATAAATTCAAATATAGGATGTTAGAAAATAATTATACTCTTTCTGATACTGGAATTTGTGGGCAAGAAGGGACTAGATTGCCTTGGAAGAACAAAATTTATTGTATTTATATATTGTAACTGAGCTAAGAAAAAAGAAACTAAATTTTAGATACATTTGTAAATACAGATGTTCCTCGACTTATAATAGGGTTATATCCTGATAAACACATCATAAGTTGAAAATATCTTAAAGGCAAAAATGGGCATTTTGTAGATGTGTTGGGATGCGAAAACGCAAAACACAGTATCCAAAATATGCTGGCCACACAGTACACTGTAGAGTATTGGTCAATTACCCTCATGACTGCATGGCTGACCGGAGCTGCGGCTGGCTGCTGCTACCCAGCATCTCAAGAAAATACTGTGTTGCATATCACTAGTGTAGGAAGAGATAAAAGTTCAAAATTTGAGGTATAATTTCTACTGAATGCATGTTGCTTTCACACCATCACAAAGTTGAAAAATCGTTAAGTTGGAGACCATCTGTATAGGCATTTCCTCTAAGCTGGAGTTTTTATGTCACAAATTGGCTATGATACAGTGGATTAATTAGGAACATGAAATTCATTACTCAGATCATTATTGGCTTAAATGAGATTTTGATAGGGAGCCAAGATTGCAGTCATAGAAACAAGAGCAGTTACTTTGAGTGGCTTTGTGTTTTGTCCTAACAATGAGTGATAAAATACATGAAGCACTGTGCTATTAGAGTTGTCAGTGATAGAAATGCCTTTACATGAACAAGAGCTATCTAGTCAGTGATGACTAGATTTTCTAACCATTTATATATAACAAGAAGAAAAATAAACCTTATTATTTAAATTCCAGCATGAAAATTAATTTATTATTAATTCCTGGCTCCTAACCACTTTTTCTCCCTACTCACATTTTATATTTTCAAAAGGTGAAGGTTTCCTAAAATAAAATCCCAGCTATTGCGTGATAATTCAGCAGTCTGGGCTCTGATTTGAATTGATTAAAAAGAGATATTGTTTTGTAGCCACATACTAAAACCTGATTATAATATGAGACTCCATGTAACAAATGTTTTTGTAAGTCCTTTTCCCAACAATTTCTTTTAGCCTCACTAGACCACTTTTACCTAACAATGAGAGTATGAATGCTGTGTTTTCTTAAAAGCCTAAAAGTAAGGTTATTAAGCTAATACAACATGGTCTCCTTAGTTTTTCCTCTAGAACACAGATCAGCAAATTTTCTTAAAGGGCCAGATAGTAACTGTTTTAGACTTCGCAGGCCCATGTGGTCTCTGTCTTAACTATTCAACTCTTGCTATTCTCGTAAAAGTAGCCAATATGTAATGAATGGGTATAGCTGTATTCTAATACAACTTGACTTACAAAAACTGGCAGCTGACCTGCCGGCCATAATTGACTAGCCCTGCTCTACAGCCAAAAGCATTGCCACTATCACCAAGTAGATTTCATCTTCTTACAGGAAGGGGTACACAGTGCTGCCAGTCTTGCTTCTGTCTCTGAGTGTTGCTGCTCTGTTGTTGTAGAAACCCTCTTAATTAGAAGGCAGCCAGTCTAGGATGTAGATTCAGAGACTGTACAGTACTGAGGTTCTCATATATAAAAGAGATTAGCAGTTAGTTTTACCTTTTATTAAGTCAGTTTCTTACTGTTACTATCCTTTTTTTAAATCAGGTACAGATGAAATTTTTAGTTGAGCAAATGAGGCGACCAGATTTCATGGATGCTCTACAGGGCTTTCTATCTCCTCTAAACCCTGCTCATCAACTAGGAAATCTCAGGTACTTTCTTGGGGGTTTCATTGATATATTTAAATAAATACCTTTTCTGGATAAAATCTTGAGAAAAGTCAAAATGTCTATTATAATTAGAATGTTCAATAATCTATGCTTCTTGCTGTCATTCTCCTACCCTCAAAATAAGAGTAGTAAATTATCTTAAGTTCAGTACTGCCTTTATTCAGAATGAGTTTTTACTACTTAAATAATAGAATTTAAAACCTTCTATGGCCAGAATTTCTGTTATCATAGGATAAGAAATGGAAGTGTAATATCTGTAAAACTGATGGTATATCTCTATATATTTGTTGGAAATTCATATGCAATTATATAACTTCTAAAACTTAGTATTTTTTTATACTCCTTAGAAATGGATTCCTAAATAAAAATTGAGGAGAAAGTTTTAAATCTTTGTAACACTTCAAAAAGCTGTATGGTATTTATATTTTAAAATAAATTTGAGGGTAAAGGAATAATAAAGCAAAGGTGCCTAATAAAGTTTTTAAATATTTTAAAGGCTTGAAGAGTGTCGAATTATGTCCTCTGCAAAAAGGCCACTGTGGTTGAATTGGGAGAACCCAGACATCATGTCAGAGTTACTGTTTCAGAACAATGAGATCATCTTTAAAAATGGGGATGGTAAGGAAGAGTATTAATGAGCTTATGATGCATGAATTTAGCTATCTTTTTATACCCAGGATATTTATGAGCCATGAAAACTATTGAAAGCCATTTAAGGAATACATACATGTGATAAAATACATAATATTAATCAGATATCTTGACCTTTGAAATATGCATATATAATCAATGAAAAGAAGAGAAGTACTAGGCTTAGATCAGAAGTCCTGAAATCAGTTTTTTGTTTTTTCTTTTTCCTATTCCCTGCCTTAACCCCCCTCTCGTGGACCTGTGTAGAGAAGTATTTTTTGTTGTTGTTTTGGTTTTTTTTTTTTTTTAATCAGTTTCTAATTATCATTTGCTTAGCTGTGTGAGTATCCATTCATTCCATAAATATTCTATGTGCTAGGCCCTGGGGTTTTAGCAGTGAAGAAAACAGAATCCCTGCCCTCTTGGAGCTTACAGCCTAACAGAGAAAAGAGGGACATTAAATAAATAATTATAAAAATGAAATTACAAGCATGGTACAAAGGAAAAGTGTAATCTGCTTAGGAACCATATAAAAGAAGGTACTTATTTGGAGGAAAAGGCTATCGGGGGAGTGAAGGAGGATCCATGGATGGGTTTTCAATAGGAAATGACATTTCAGCAGTGAATTCTGTTGATCCCAATATTTTAATGTAAACATATGTTCAAATTTAAGGATTCAGAAAAATAATTACTATAAATGCTTTAATTAAAAATTTTTATGAGATACATGCTCACTTATCCTACATTGTTATTCAAATATGTTTATGCAAAGACTTTAAAAGTGGATTTAAGAATCAGAATATTAAGAGCCATTTGTAGTGGTGCATGCTTGTGATCCCAGCTACTCTGGAGGATTACTTGAGCCCAGGAGTTTGAGACCAGCCTGGTCAATGTAGCAAGACCCCATCTCAAAAAATTATAAATTAATAAAGCTATGTAAAGGCTTTGAGTGGACATACACACTCATTTATACATTTTTTTAAAAGAATCAGAATATTGCTTTCCTGTAGTTTCTTTTGAAGATAAATATAGCTGTATTTGTTTTTCATTTGAAAACCATGTGATGGCGTGATCCCCAAATTTGCATCTGTGGCATTAAATGGTGATACATATTATTTGAATTTCAGATTTACGGCAAGATATGCTAACACTTCAAATTATTCGTATTATGGAAAATATCTGGCAAAATCAAGGTCTTGATCTTCGGTAGGTAACCAGTAAGGCAACCTGTATGTTGAAAGTTATCCTGAAAAAGTGAACTATTAATAATTACAGAAGCATATAGAGTCATATATCTAAAAAGAAATGTATGCAGTAGTAATTATCAATAGTTGATTACACTATAGTACTTTGACATATCCTCCTGTTACTTGACTTAGCATAGCTAAATTATATTCAGCTAAGTAAAAAGAGCTAAGAAGCTGATAAACACTCTGCAACTGCCTCTGGAGTGTGACCATTAGGAACAAGACAAAGGAGACACACAAGACCCCTGTTTTCATTCAGAAGTTAAGAGTTTAAAAGAAAGTTTCATAATAGAAATTTTCTAATTCTAAAGTTGTATAAATCCTCAAATACTGGAATCAGTTTTTCAGCAAAATTATGCAACCAGCTAATCTTAGAGTTTTTACCAGTCTGTTGGTTTCTACCCAGCTTTCCACAGTATCAGTATTATCACCAAGTTTTCTGTTGTGCTTCATCTTCTCCTAGTCATTGTTGCTTCTAAAATGTTCTTCCTTATCTTACTTGTCTTTTTGCAAATCCATAGTCATTCAGGCAAAGCCCGCTCTCTCCAAAGTAATTTGGCCTATAAGTGGACATAGAGTCAAGTCTAGCTGTGACAACAGGGTACATTTAGTAGGAATTGCAGGTAACACCAGACAAGGGCTTATTTGTTTGCCTCTTATAAATTTTAAGAGTAGCTACTATACAAAAATGTGTCAGTGACAAATAGTAGTACCTTTGTATTGGAAAGAAGAAAGTGGACATTTCAAGTGATATGCTAAGGCACAAAACTGTTATCAACTTCAGATTCGTAACTCGTGATACATTGCTTAACCCTTGCTGCTTTCCAAAGACGGTTAAGGTTATATGAATCTAATTTCATTTTTTGGTATTATTTCCTGTGTCGTGAGAGATCCACATTCCACTACTGCCACGTCCCCCAAAGGAATAGACTGTAAAAAAGATTGTAGAGCCAAGAAAGAGTAAAGGAGGTAACTATGTAACCCTAGTTAATTACATTAATTGTAAATTAGTGACTTTGCAAAAAAGATTCTAAAGTTAAGATGATTAGAATTATTAACGGTTTTTTAGTCTTATATTTTCTGAATATTTTTTAACAAGTAAATGTAAGTAAAAATTTTATTTCAAGTTTAACTTGAGATTAAAATTATTTAAGTAAAATCATAACAGCATTTTTATTTATACTTGGCAAAACTATAATTCATAATCGGGTTAATTTTAACCCTGCTTTTTTTTTTAATAACAGGACTTGGAAGACAATTGAATTCTTTGAACTATGAGCATGTTCAACAGTGATAAAAACATAAAATAAGAAAGAATGAGCAGGAGTACAACCTTAAGAAATTTCCCTATTTACCAGGGCAGGTAGAAGAAAAGATTGTGTAAGAGAAGTCATCAAAAGAAGTAGGAGTACTAGAGGAAGTGATTGACAATTTGTAGGGCCAAGGGCTTCAAGGGGTTTAAAGAATGAGGTCTGTGAAAAAGCACTTGGATTTAATGACTCATGATTATCTTTAAGAGTTTACTCACTAGAATGGTAGGTGTAGAAGCTAGGCTACAAGGAATTAAGTAAGAAAATGAAAATAAGTATAGACTGTATTAGGAATTTAAGAAGTAAAGGAAAGGTGGAAAGAGTGGAAAGTAGCTTATGAGAAGAACAGAGCAAGGAAAACCAAACTTTGGATACTCACATGTCAATCTGAATGTTAGGTGCTTTTTTTCATTGTCTCTTTAAATCCTCACATCTGCACCCTTGACTACATGTCCTATTTAATTTTCTATGTGAATAAGTGAGAGGTATCCTAAAAAGCATTTGTGTCACATCCCCAAGTATTATGGTTGTATCAAAGGGAAACATTTGTGAGATAATATTTGAGTTGTGAGCTGAACTAGCTGCTGTTTTGATGGAACACGATTTTTACTTAAAAAATAACTAGTAGGCAAGCTATGGTTATTCAGACATGGATATTTGGCAGACATTTTCTTAAAAATGAACAATATGTGCCTGTCTCTTTGACGAAAACAACTGTGACAGTATTTGTTGCCAATGATAAAATTCAAGCTTGCAACAAAAATTTCATTAGAAATTCAAACTTAGAATTTTGAAAATACTAATTTTCAGTATCTGCCACTGAACCTAATAGAGTCCCTAAACTTAACATCTTTCTAATGAGATTCTTGGTAATATTAACAATTGTGGTTTCCAGTATGGTATAATGAAAAGTATCAACATTTGGAACATCTACAAATGGCCATGCGCAGGATACTATAAAATCATGTATGGGTAAAAGATCCATTAAAAGGCAAGAAAGACAAATTGATTTTAATGTAACTGAGTATGAAAAGTTTATTGATATGGTTTTAGATTACATATTGCAACTTAAGAAACTTACCAAGTTTTGGAATAGTATCAAAGAAAAATACCACAATTATCTGAAAAGTCTATTATAATACTCCTTTTTCTACCTACCTATCTTTGTGAGGCCAGATTTTCTTTATATACTTCAATTAAAACATTCCATTAGATTGCATACAAAAGCATATATGAGAATCCAGCTGTGTACTATGAAACCAGACATTTAAAAAAATGTTTAAATGTGAAAGAATGTCACTCTTCTCACTACATTTTTTAAATGCATTTTTTTGTTTCATGAAATACGTTATTTATATTAACATGTCATGGTTTGTTGCTTTTAAATGAATTAGTAACTATTTAAAATTGTTACTTTCCCTATTTCAATTTCTAATATCAGTAGTTGTAATTCACATAACTAAAAGCTCTTTGGAGTCCTCAGTAATTTCTACAAGTGTAAAGGAGTCCTGAGACCAAAAATTTGAGATCCCCTGCCCTATAGTTTTATTTCGATGTCAATTAAACATCTTTAAATTCACCCATATTTTTAAAGTCATAAATGTAAAATTTTAATTGCCACAATAATTTTCTTAATGCTTTTCTGATAAAAGTTCAGCACTTTCTCAGTTGAAGGTTATAATAAATGATGACAGGTAATTTTGAGGATTATTCCAGGAGTATATTTATCACACCATAAAAAAGAAAATTAAAATTGGGGAAAGGCAGTAAAGGTCATGCATGACAAATTTACTAATAAAATACTCATGTTTTGGCCTATTAAAATATTTGCTATTTTAAAATTCCATCATTTAATTGTAAATGTGTTGCTCCTCTTTCAGAATGTTACCTTATGGTTGTCTGTCAATCGGTGACTGTGTGGGACTTATTGAGGTGGTGCGAAATTCTCACACTATTATGCAAATTCAGTGCAAAGGCGGCTTGAAAGGTGCACTGCAGTTCAACAGCCACACTCTACATCAGTGGCTCAAAGACAAGAACAAAGGAGAAATGTGAGTTGTATTATTCTTTCTTCCTATGTTAGTCTAAGTTTTTGTTAGATGAGTCTGTCAGTGTTTGTGTATTCCTCTGACTTATACCAGAGAAAACAATTGTACTTTCTATGGAAAAAACTATGCTCAGCCTTTGCAATATTTGACATTAATGGATTTAAATGATTATAATTACTTTTGATTTGGTAAAATCTTAAACATTCATTTTATGTATTATCTAAAATGTATTGTTACTGCTTATTCTTTTTAAACAAATGAACATTGCACATTCAAAATTTTATTTCTAATTCATTGTTAAAATGATTAGAAAAAAATAATTTTAATGAGATGGTATTTTTTCACTATGATAAGAATTACGCTTTGGTCAGGGAATATCTGGAAATTTCCTTAGAAACCCATGAAAACTTCACAATCTCAAAATCTTTGGACATAATTACCTTATTCCGTTAGTGATGGTTTTCATTGTTTAAATAGACGCTTGTACCCTTTTTTCTCAAGTTGGCCTGAAGCACTCTATATTTCCATACTACTCATGAGGTGTTTACTTCTTCTTTGTAGATATGATGCAGCCATTGACCTGTTTACACGTTCATGTGCTGGATATTGTGTCGCTACCTTCATTCTGGGAATTGGAGATCGTCACAATAGTAACATCATGGTGAAAGACGATGGACAAGTAATGGTTTTCTCTGTTTAAAATGTTTTTTGGTGTTCTTAATTTATTAATTCAAGACATTTTGTATCTGAATATGTCAAACTATAACATAATTTCTTATTTTTGAAAGCTGTTTCATATAGATTTTGGACACTTTTTGGATCACAAGAAGAAAAAATTTGGTTATAAACGAGAACGTGTGCCATTTGTTTTGACACAGGATTTCTTAATAGTGATTAGTAAAGGAGCCCAAGAATGCACAAAGACAAGAGAATTTGAGAGGTGAGCTTGAGAAATTAAAAACACAAAATAAAGAGTTCTGGCTGCTCTATTAGAAACAAGCAATATTTTTCAAGCAATTTCAAAATAATAAATGTTGGCCGGGTGTGGCAGTTCATGCCTGTAATCCCACTCTTTGGGAGGCCGAGGCTGGAGGATCATTTGAGCTCAGCAGTTGAAACCAGCCTGGGTAACACAGTGAGAACTCATGTCTACAAAAAAAATTTTTAAAATAGCCAGGCGTGGTGGCATGCACTGTAGTCCCAGCTAGTCAGGAGGCTGAGATGGGAGGATCACTTGAGGCCAGGAGGTTGAGGTTGCAGTGAGCCATGATCACGCCACTGTACTCCAACCTGGGCAACAGAGTGAGACCCTGTATCAAAATAAATAAAATAAAAGAAGTTATTTTACCACTTTAACAAAAACTATTTTTTGTTTGTTTTTTATTTTATTTTATTTCAATAGCTTTTGGGGTACATGTGGTTTTTGGTTACATGGATGAATTAAATAGTGGTAAAGTCTGAGATTTTAGCGCACCTGTAACCCAAGTAGTGTGCTTTGCCCCCAATATGTACTTTTTTATCCCTTACCATTCTTCCCATCTTCTCCCTTCTGAGTCTCCATAGTCCATTATATCACTCTGTACGCCTTTGTGTACCCATAGCTTAGCTCCCACTTACAAGTGAGAACATAGTGTATTTTCAGGTTTTCCATTCCTGGCCTCCAGCTCCATCCCAGTTGCTGCAAAAGACATTATTTCATTCTTTTCTGTGGTGTAGTAGTATTCCGTGGTGTAAATGTACACTTTCTTTATCCACTCATTGGTCAGTGGGTACTTACGTTGGTTTCATATCTTTGCAATTGTGAATTGTGCTGCAATAAACATACAATATGCTTGCAGATGCCTTTTTGATATAATGACTTCTTTTCCTCTGGGTAGAGGGATTGCTGGACCAAATGGTAGATCTACGTTTAGTTCTTTAAGAAATCTCCATACTGTTTTCCATAGAGGCTGTACTAATTTACATTCCCACCAGGAGTGTGTAAGCGTTCCCTTTCACCACATCCATGTCAACATCTGTTGTTTTTTGACTTTTTAATTACAGCCATTCTTGCAGGAGTAAGGTGGTATATCATTAATCATCAGGGAAATCATCAGCATTTCCCTGATGATTAATGTTGTTGAGCATTTTTTTCATGTTTTCATGTTGTTGCATATCTTCTTTTGAGAATTGTCTATTCATGTCCTTAGCCCACTTTTTTTGTTTTCATTTTTGTTTTTGTTTTGAGACGGAGTCTCACTCTGTCGCCCAGGCTGGAGTACAATGGCATGATCTCAGCTCACTGCAACCTCTACCTCCTGGGTTCAAGCGATTCTCCTGCCTCAGCCTCCCAAGTAGCTGGAACTACAGGCACACGCCACCACGCACGGCTAATTTTTGTATTTTTAGTAGAGACGGAGTTTCACCATGTTGATCAGCCTGGTCTTGAATTCCTGACCTCAGGTGACCCACCCGCCTCAGCCTCCCTAAGTACTAGGATTATAGGCTTGAGCCACTGCGCCCGGCTTTAACCCACTTTTTGATGGGATTCTTTGTTTCTTGCTGATTTGAGTTCCTTATAGATTCTGGAAATTAGTCCTTTGTTGGATGCATAGTTTGCGAATATTTTCTCCCATTCTATGGGTTATCTATTTACTTCGATGATTATTTCTTTTGTTATGCAAAGGCTTTATAGTTTAATTAGGTCCCATTTATTTTGTTTGTTTTTGTCGTATTTGCTTTTGGGGTCTTAGTCATTTATTATTTGCCTAGGCCAGTGTCCAAAAGAGTTTTTCCTAGTTTATCTTCTAGAATTTTTATGGTTTCAGGTCTTAGATTTAAGTCTTGGATCCATCTTGAGTTGATTTTTATATAAGGTGAGAGACAGGGATCCAGTTTCATTCTTTTACATGTGGCTAGGTGGTTTTCCCAGCACCATTTATTAAATAGGATGTCCTTTCTCCAATATATGTTTTTGTATGTCTAAAATCAGTTGGTTGTAAGTTTTTGGCTTTATTTCTGGGCTCTCCATTCTGTTCCATTGGTCTATGTGTCTACTTTTGTGTGTATCTGCTGTTTTGGTAATTATAGTTTTCTAGTATAATTTGAAGTCCAGTAATGTGATGCCTCCAGATTTATTCTTTTTGCTTAGCCTTCCTTTGGCTATTCAGACTCTTTTTGGTGGATTTTATATGAATTTTAGGATTTTTTTTCTAATTCTGGGAAAAATGATGTTGGCAGTGTTTTGTAGTTTTCCTTGAATAGGAAAGATACCCCCTTGGTTAGGTATATTCCTAGGTATTTTTTTGAAGCTAAAAGGGCTTGTGTTCTTAATTTGATTCTTTGCTTGGTTGGTGGTGATGTATAGCAGTGCTACTGATTTGTGTACAGTGATTTTGTAACCTGAGACTTTACTGAATTCATTTATCAAATCTAGGAGTCTGTTTTGTTTTGTTTTTTTTTTTTTTTTTTGAGAGAGAGAGACAAAGAGTCTTGCTCTGTCGCCCAGGCTAGAGTGCAGTGGTGCAATCTCAGCTCACTACAACCTCCATCTCCTGGGTTTAAGCAATTCTCCTGCCTCAGCTTTCCAAGTAGCAGGCGTGCACCACCATGCTCAGCTAATTTTTGTATTTTTTAGTAGAGATGGGGTCTCACTTTGTTGGCCAGGTTGGTCTTGAACTCCTGACCTCAGGTGATCCTCCCGCCTCGGCCTCCCAAAGTGCTGGGATTATAGGAGTGAGCCACCACACCCAGCTGAAATCTAGGAGTCTTTTGGAGAACTCTGGGGTTTTCTAGGTATATGATTATGTCATTGGTAAACAGCGATAGTTTGACTTCTTTTCCAATTTGGATGCCAATGTGGGCTTCCTTGTCTTGTTCTAGTTCTCAGGGGGAGTGCTTTCAGCTTTTCCCCACATTCAGTATGATATTGGCCGTGGGTTTGTCATATGACTTTTATTATTTTGAGGTAAGTCCCTTCTATGCCTACTTTGTTGAGTGACAAACTATTTTAATGTTTTTATTTTTTTGTGTTTATTTGTGTGATGCTGTGAAGGAAGATGGAAAGGGAATACAATTTAATTTGTTGAGCTAATTAAGGTCTAAAAAGAAAGTAACCCTTAAACTTCATAACACATTAAATGTTTTTATTTACTGAGCTTTAAATAGTTGGACTCCACCTCTATATTGATAAATAATGTATAGTGCTTAATACGACATTTTTTGCTCATACAATTTGATGAAAGTCCGTCAACCATAATCACCTTGTTTATTCATAACTCACCTTATGGTATCTCATTAGACTATATCAGACTTTAAAGTACTTTTTACAACCTTCTATAAAATTCTGCTTTGTCTATAACTCAGTCCTGACTCTAGCTTAAGCACAAAAGGATTTAGTATGGACCAATTCATACATTTAATACTTATTAAACTGCTGACATGCCAGGCATTGTTGTAGGTGCTGGTAATAAAGCAGTTTTTAAAAAGTCTTTATTCTCATGAAGTTTATATTCTAGTGGGGTAAAGGGAATCAAAAGATGTTGGTAAGGTAAGTGAGAGAGGAATGCTATTTTTTATAGCTTTGTCTACGAAAGCCTCTCTAATTGTGTGACATTTGAGCAAAGACCTGAAGGTATTAACATCATTTGCTCCATACTAACCAAACTGTTCTTATTACTTATAGGTTTCAGGAGATGTGTTACAAGGCTTATCTAGCTATTCGACAGCATGCCAATCTCTTCATAAATCTTTTCTCAATGATGCTTGGCTCTGGAATGCCAGAACTACAATCTTTTGATGACATTGCATACATTCGAAAGACCCTAGCCTTAGATAAAACTGAGCAAGAGGCTTTGGAATATTTCATGAAACAAATGAATGATGCACATCATGGTGGCTGGACAACAAAAATGGATTGGATCTTCCACACAATTAAACAGCATGCATTGAACTGAAAAGATAACTGAGAAAATGAAAGCTCACTCTCTGGATTCCACACTGCACTGTTAATAACTATCAGCAGGCAAAGACCGATTGCATAGGAATTGCACAATCCATGAACAGCATTAGAATTTACAGCAAGAACAGAAATAAAATACTATATAATTTAATGTAAACGCAAACAGGGTTTGATAGCACTTAAACTAGTTCATTTCACAATTAAGCTTTAGAATAATGCGCAATTTCATGTTATGCCTTAAGTCCAAAAAGGTAAACTTTGAAGATTGTTTGTATCTTTTTTTAAAAAACAAAACAAAACAAAAATCCCCAAAATATATAGAAATGATGGAGAAGGAAAAATGATGTTTTTTTTTGTCTTGCAAATGTTCTATGTTTTGAAATGTGGACACAACAAAAGCTGTTATTGCTTTAGGTGTAAGTAAACTGGAGTTTATGTTAAATTACATTAAGATTGGAAAAGAATGAAAATTTCTTATTTTTCCATTGCTGTTCAATTTATAGTTTGAAGTGGGTTTTTGACTCCTTGTTTAATGAAGAAAAATGCTTGGGGTGGAAGGGACTCTTGAGATTTCACCAGAGACTTTTTCTTTTTAATAAATCAAACCTTTTGATGATTTGAGGTCTTATCTGCAGTTTTGGAAGCAGTCACAAATGAGACCTGTTATAAGGTGGTATTTTTTTTTTTTTTTCCTGGACAGTATTTAAAGGATTTTATTTCCCAGGGAAATTCTGGGCTCCCACAGAGTTTAAAAAAAAAAAAAAAAAATCATAGAAAAAGAATGAACAGGAATAGTTCTTATTCCAGAATTGTACAGTATTCACCTTAAGTTGATTTTTTTCTCCTTTTGCAGTTGAACTGAATACATTTTTCATGCATGTTTTCCAGAAAATAGAAGTATTAATGTTATTAAAAAGATTATTTTTTTTATTAAAGGCTATTTATATTATAGAAACTATCATTAATATATATTCTTTATTTACATGATCTGTCCCATAGTCATGCATTGTTTTGCACCCCAAATTTTTTATTGTTCATAGCAGCATGGTCAGCTTTCTTCTTGGTCTGTAGATGAGGCTCAGGCACTATCCCATTTACGCCAATAACCAGTGTATAACTACTTAAGGAAAACATAAAACTTCATCTTTCCTTTTATTTCTTATGTGAATCCCCCGTCTTCCATTCTCTTTTGTAGTTGAGAATGTCTCAATCATATGAAATTAGTTACCAAAATTAACACAATTTAGACTATCTTCCTGATTCCTTAAACCCCTTTACTGAAGTATACTCATGAATGATACTTTAAAATATGGGGGAATAGAAACCATGAAATTTTTACCTTTTTAAACTATTTATCCATATCTCCAAAGTAGAATATTAAACCATTTTAAGATCATGTCTCATTCCCAAGTAGTCAGAGTCAGAGTTCACTCTCCAACTTTATTAAATACTATTTGAGCACAGGACATATCTTAAACATTTTGAAAAACATTAACCCAAGATGTACAGGCTACTGCTAGTCATCATTCTAGAATCTGATATTTTACTCTGTATTTGAAATGAATGATTAATGTCCTAGGAAATTAGCTTTAGATGTTCAGGTGCCACATCAAAAAAGTGCAATAATTATTGACAGTTTTTTATATTAGGCATATTATTGGAAAACAACTTTATAAAGAGTGAACATTGTATACTGTAGTAAAACAGCATCACTTTAAAAATATTCATTTATGAAATCTGTTACCTATAGTTGAAGTCTTGAGTAGTGAACAAGGGACTCTAATACCAATACTCTTAATATCTGGCTATTTTAGATCCCTTAAAGGGCATAATTATTGGAAATTTAGGTATTTCACTAAAGCATGTATATAATATTGCCAACAAGAAAAATAAATTTGAAGATTAAGGGAACTTACTTCTGCAAACTGTCTTGCAGTAGTTAAGCAGAATTTAAACTCTGTTTTAAGCAGGCAACCAGAAAGATTATTTTGCAGTTATAGAAGATTTCATAACTTATTAAAACTTATTAACATTTTGTGTTGTTTAGATATAGGCAGTTGATACTAACATCCCAGCCTTTTCAATATCAGGGTTAAATTATAGGAAAACTCAGTAAAATGGTACAAATCTGAAACTTTGATGGTAGAAACTGAAGATGTAACAGAGAACTGTGTTTTACCCGAGTGCCAAAAATGCCTTGAGCCTCCTTGCACAAAATTTATACCATTTTTTACATTTTTATCACATCAGTCCAGATACTTGTCTCCCCTCCTTCTCCCAGAACCTCTCCACTATTAACACGCACAAACCATATGGCCGATTTCATCATTTACATTTATTTTCAAAAGTTATTACAACCAAATTATATTAGAAGAAATGTAGACAAATTCTATAAAGACTATAGATTGTGACCTAAGAAAGAAATGAGGTAAAGAACCAAACATTGAATTAAATGCTACATGGGTGACTAAGATCTGTTTCAAGTCAGCGATAATGTAGCCAATTCTGGGTACTTCAGTATCAGAGATCAGTTCCCACGGTTTAGACAGTTCCTATCTATAGCTGACTATCCTTGTCCTTGAATATGGTGTAACTGACTGTTGGCTCTGCAGTTTTATTGGGCCACTTAAGAAATATTTCCTTGAATAATTGTTTTGAGAAAAAGTCTAAAGAAAATAATAAAAATAATTTTAAACACACTATAGTAAGAAATGACTGTTCGAAAATTATGCTTTCACTTTCTACCATATTCTCAGCTATACAAAACCATTTATTTTGAAGATTTTTAGACTACTGTTAATTTGAAATCTGTTACTCTTATTGTGGAATTTGTTTTTTTAAAAAAGATGTTTCTAATTGGATTTTTAAAAGAAGAATGGAATTTGGTTGCTATTTTACAACAGAACCTAAGCTTTTTGTGGTTCTTAGTGTCCTATGTAAAACTTAGTGTCAAAGTAATCAACTTTGAGATTTTTCCCTTCTATTCTGCTTTATATTAAAAGCCTATTAGAAAATGGGAACCTGGTGAATATATAATGAATTGTAAAATATTTTAATGTGTAACTTTTTCAACTGTGAAACTATTGATTTTTTTGATGAAAACAGCTGCTGATAAAGTATTTTGTGTAAAGTGTAGTTCTTATTAACCAGGAAAATGATGACTTGATTAGACTGTATATGCCCTCTTGGATTTTATTTTAAATGGATTGGTGATTTTCACATAGGTAAAACACAGTCCATCTGTATTCTTTTTTCCATCAAAAATCGAGTGATTTGGAATTATAAAAAAAAATTGTGAGCAGCCTATTTGAAAGGCATCATGGAAATTTCACAGCACATAACATGGATTTATTTTTTTCTTGATGTAAATCCGCTTAATTCATATTTTGATCAATAGCCCATGCTTGCCAACTCTGAAGAAATTTAATTTCCAGCAGTATTTTAAAGCTAGCCTGTTAACTTTTTCTGAATATTTAAAGTTCCTCTTTTTTCTATGTCTGCACAAACTGCAGACCTGGGCTGGACCCACATACTCAGAGTCCACCTTAAGAAATTATTTTGATGTCCAAGACATCACTAAAATATTTAAGTTTAAAGATAATATGTGGTGTTAATAGATTGTGGTGCTTTTACTATTTAAAGACAACTTTCATACTTCAGATGTTTTTGAGAAGAGGGGAATGTGAGGGGAGGGGGCAGAACAGGGAGGAGTTGTTTGAATGAATTACATTCTTTATATCCATCCTGCTCATTTGGGGCATGTCTAAGAGAAGGCTGAAAGTTGTGAGAGTATATTGTATACCGTAAGAGAATTAACTCTTCATCATGGATGGGATTGTGAAGCTGAACTATAAAATTCAGCATTGACAGCATCCTCAATTAATAATTCTTGGTGACAGAATAATACAGCTGGGCTGTTTTTTAAAATACAAACTCAATACCATTTTTAATTATTACATTAAAAATTGTAAATATATCTATGTGCCATGGCCTGGGAAGCCTGTTTTCTTTTTTCATAAAAATTATTTTTACTCTATGAAAAGATTATGGGGTTTAGCTCAAAATATCTATGGTCGTGATAAAATTGGATTGGTAACTCTACCTCAGAAGGAAAATGGGGGAAAAATAGATGAGTCACAATTCAATACTTCAGGCTCAGAAATTGTGCAGATCACTGAATTTTAGATTTATAAAGTCAGAGTTGGCATGCGTTGTTTTTAATGATATGGAAGACCTTAAGAAAAAAACTTGGCTGAAGTTTAATCGTTGGTCCAGCCATTTGAAAAAAGCAATAGTTCGAGGAGGTTCCCGAATTCGGCGTTTGAAATTCATTTTGTTCTCTTTTCTTCATTATTAGTGCATTTGGTGTGTGTATACTTGCACACAATTCTGTCTGTATACACACTGCTTGCTTAGCCCTAGTCAAAAGGCATCTTTTATAAAAGGTGTAAAGAAATATCAAGGTTCTATAATTCTGAAGAGTTTAGAATTGATTAGGAGTTTCCCAAGTTGGGATGTTAGTCTTTAAATAAACTTACTTCATTCATGTATTCCACTTAAGGTTTTGCACCTCCTTTTTATTAGTGCAGCGCCATTTATTTTGCTTGATTTTAGGTATGTTAATATTCCAGCCTTGCTAGTTAGCATAAAGTGACAGGTGTGAGCCATGAGGAAATTTTCTGACTTAATTTTTACACAACTACATATAAGAGTTTTAGTGGAGAAAAAAAATTAGTCCCTTGTGCATATATAGTAGTTAGATAAATGATTTTTCTACCAACAGTATACTCCACTCCTCATGTAGGTAAGTACAGAAAAGGTTTCAAAATATATTTTGTTAGCCAGTTAAAGTCTATGAATTATCTGCAACCTATTTAATCTGTCACTACAGTAATTTTGTGGTTATGCCAAGAACCGTGTATACTTTGTTTTCTTATTTTTGTCAGTTTTTCTAGGTTAGCAAGGAGGCAGCAAACTTTCATTGTTTCATATTAAAATATAATTAGACTAAACTTAATTCTAGTATGAATTTCCAAAATCGTTATCTATTTATTTCATTTTTATTTAATTTTGTTTTTATTTCACTTTTAAAAGTCCCTTGTTTGATGTAATTTATGCTCCTAAGAGTGGTTGGAGAACTTGGCCTTCATCTGATTTCAAAAGTGTTTTTGGCTATGGAACCCAAGTTTCAAATGAAGTTGATGGTTTCAGTGTGATTCAGTCTTCAGACCTAATTGGGTTGAATAAAATCTAAAAGAATATACCCTTTTGGAGCATAACACTTTAATACTTTGGGGAATGTGGCACTACCAAAAGAAGACTACTAACATGTCAAATGTTCACCTGGAAGAAATTCGAACCACCCTTTTGGCCCCATTAATTGTAGCAAGTTTATTTCTCTATATTTTGTCATTCAATGAATTGAAGTCCTGTGGTATACTGCATTCATTACAAGAAAAACGTTTTTAATGTCCTTTTAATGATGGCCCAAAAAGCATTTGACACAGCAAGATGCATGTGTTATTATATTGAGAATATAGAATAATAACAGTACCACTAAATTTAAGACCTCTTCCCAGTCTTGCTGTTCCTAGCAAGAAGTGTGGCCTGTGACTGCACTTACTGTTTGTGCTCATCAGAAACTGTCAATGTCTGCTTTTCTTTAACTCTGCAGTCTGTAACATCACGCTGTTTATTAAAAAAAAAGAAAAATTACTTTGACTTGTGTCCAAACAATCCTTAGTGTACTATATAAGCAAAAAACTGTGATAATTCTTTTGCCATTCCTTTTGAAAAGCCAGTGCTGCTAATAATCAAAATATAGCTGAATTTGAGTTCTTTTCAGTAATGACTAAGAATACTTGATTGAAAATCTGAAACTATTATACCTTAAAAGCCAATTTTTCTGCCCCAGTAAAGTGATGAATATTAAAGAAATGTATGTTTAAATATTTACTTCCTTTAAGCATAAAGAATTATATGCTTCTAAGAAATATATGTATGAATGTATGTATGTATATGTAATAGGTAAGTGGACTTTTTCCAAGTCCTTTGAAGATCAGAACCTAGAAATGAAGTTAGGCCAGAAGCAAACTGGTTTTGCTTTCAGTTCTCATAAACATTGCAAAAGTTAAGTGTGGGCTTTGACCACTAATGCACATAGGCATTAACAACTTAGTAAAGCAATTAAGCAAATAATTACTTAAATTTTATTTATTTGCCAAATGGTTTAAATAATTTTGAATTGACTTTGTTCTCCAGGGATCATATCTCTCTTTGCTGGAATGAATCAGGTAGCTCCTATCTAAATAGAAAACTGGTAATTGAAACACACACTTTACATTTTAAATTAGCAGTTTTGAATTTTTAGGGAAAAGAAAATCCCAATAATTGCATATTGTTAGGTAGAAGTCACATTTACAAAGAAATGGAATAGGGATGTGCCCTTAAGAAAAGTATAGATCTCAATTTGCAGAATGATTTAAAATGTGCATGCATATAAAATGTTCATGTGTACGTATATATTTTATTACAGAGAAGTCTTTGGTATACAAAATAGTTTACCACAACCTTTTAAACAGCAGGTTCTGGGCCTTAAATGCATATCACAGTTAGCCAAGAGAACTGGGGTGGGGGGCAGGGAAAATGAACTGCAGTTCCCTATCCCTAGCCTCTATACCCGCTGTCCAATGAAAAGTACCAAGGCTCACTGAATGTTACAACCCAGCAGATTTTTAAATAAATTATCTAACATTTTGAGTGCCCCTACTAGATGCTAGAAGCCATGCTAAAGTGTTTCACATGCCCTACTTTGCTTCTTCTATAAAATAACTGTGTGAAAGAACAGGTTATCCCCATTTTATAGATGAGAAAAGAGAGGTTTAGACCGGTTAGCTGATTTGCCCAAAGTTGTAATTATGGCCTACAAAGTCAAATAAATCCTAATCTGAAACACATGTTCTTTCCACCACTGCACACTTGAAAGAGGAAAACACCAAGATTATTCATTACTAATCAGGTCAATGTTGCTCTGTTCAGCTGAATAAGTAATTGTGTCTTGAAATTGCTAAAAGGCATTAAACTGACTTAGAATCAGTTTTTTTATTACATCTACATATAAAAGTAGCTTCAAATGTCTCATTCTACTGTCCATAATTTAAGATTTTTTAGTATAATAAAATTTTAAAGATACTTGGAGGCACTTTGGAAAATCAGACCAAACTCTCTTTTCCACTCATAGATTCGGCATAACCAATCTGGAAAGCATTTGTTGAGAGCCTTATGACATCATTTAATAACCATGGTTGATTCATCAATTAAAGTACAGACAATTGTTGACTAAACTTGGGGGACTTTGCTATTAGGTTGACGCAAAAGTAATTGCAGTTTTTCTCCATTAAAAGTAACGGCAAAAACTGGAATTACTTTTGCACCAACCTAATACGATGTGGATCATCTGAGATGAATGTTGAAATCCGGTATAGCTTCTTCATATTTCTGGCCCATTTTTCCCACCAGAAAGTGCACAGAGTGAAATGAGCTTATGAAAAGCATAATTAACTAGAAAAATGTTACTGAAAGAAAAATTACATGGTACATGCCAAGGTTAAATACTAGTAACTCTAAACTCAGTGAATTTTCTAGGCAGCAGCTTTCCTCTGCTGTGTAGACTGGTAAAGAACAAACCAAGGCTGGGTGCAGTGGCTCATGCCTGTAATCCCAGCACTTTGGGAGGCTGAGGCGGGCAAATCACCTGAGGTCAGGCAAGACCAGCCTGACCAACATGGTTGAAACCCTGTCTATGCTAAAAATACAAAAATTAGCTGGGCGGGTGGCACACGCCTGTAATCCCAGCTACTTGGGAGGCTGAAGCAGGAGAACTGCTTGAACCCAGGAGGCAGAGGTCGCAGTGAGCCCAGATCACATCACTGCGCTCCAGGCTGGGCAACAAGAGCAAAATTCCATCTCAAAAAGGAAAAAGAAAAGAAAAAAAATATAATTAATATGTTAGGTCCATGTTTTCTTAAGTTTTCTACCAGATTTTTATCTTCGTATAGTGAACAAACTGTTAAGAACTTTTTTATGAAAAATATTTTAGTGTGACTATATTGCATAGTTAGGCTGATGGTTCAGTGTTCAGTAGGTTAGATACCGTCATTGTTTATTTCCATATTGACTGGTTCTAGCTAGAGCTGAAATTAGGTAAAGAATATCTTGAACTCATTTTGCTACACAGGAAAAAAAAGTGCTTCCTTAGCTCATTTGGAAAGAGATTGGGATTAGAAAAGATAGTGAATTTGTATGTATTTATAGAAATAAATAGAATACAAAATGAGGCTTTTAAATTTTTTTCCCACATGAAAATATGATACTTAACTTTAATTATTACCTTTTACATTGTTAGTTTGCAGACAGGCATAATTAGGTCCTCAGTTGCAGAAATCACAGACATCTGAAGGCCAGCACTTTAATTTGGCCACAGTCTTAAGATTTCTCTGCTCCTTCCTTTGCTCCTCCTCATACTCCACAGTTTGAACTGATGCTGTTCTATATACGGTAATTTTCCACCTACCTCATCTCTGACTACAGTGCTATATTTTTCACACAGTAAGGACAGATGTTGTGTTAATCTCACCATGCCAACAATCAGGGCACCACCTAGCAGAGTCAGTGAAGGCCAAAATAAACAGTGGAAGATAGCCATTTGGTCATACTTTTTTATAAGAATGACATCTTCAGATTGGCTGTCTGGACTGTAGAAGCATGAAAAGGGGGTTCCATTTTTGTGATCGAAGAATTCCTTTATGTCCAGAGCACTGTTGAGCAAATCATTTCTATCTTGGTGGCACTTAGGTGTGTAAAAGCACTAGGAATATGGAGGAGGGAAAAAGATAAAGGCACTGTCACCAATACCAAATACTTAACAGTTTTTATTATGAAATAGCTTCAGGTTGAAGTTATTAGTGGGCAGTTTCAATCTTAGAAGGTGGTAAAATATTACATAGCTCATGGGAAAAGGTTGATTGGAGGGCCACAGTGAAATGGCCATTTCCAGTCATTAAGCAAGGATGTGGAAGGGAATTCTTAGTTTTTATGACATTGCAGGAGAGTCAGTGACCAACTTCATAAGGAATATGACTCCTCCCCACATGCAGGTTCTTGGTCTCTTGGACAGTATGAATCCATTTGTCCATTGAACAAAAATGTATTGAGCCTATGAACTTTCAGCACCTAGTAATGCCTCTGTTGTCTCTGTCTTGATCTCCTGTAGCAAAATATTACCCTGAAGAAAAGCACATGGAGGCTTTTGCTCTAGACTCACAGAGAGGGAGCCCCACCTGGACTTTGGTTCCTGAGAGACAGAACCAGTGGAGAAGGGAGCTCTGTCAGCTGGTGACTTTTTTCAAAAAAGCTTGAGGTTTATTACCATATCCATTAGGTACTTGAGGTACTGTGCTAAAGGCCTACAAAATGTTTGAAATGTTAAAAATCATTGCATCCAAAACAGAAAACAAAAGTCATCAGATTGAAATTGATGCTTAAAGACAATAAAGTGTAACACGTCAACTAATCTAACACAACTCAACTTTTTATAGTTAGGTATAAATACAAATTTTAAATCATATGAAAGACTATACTTTCAGGGATCATTTCTATAATTTGTTAAATCATAAGAACCCATTGTGTAATTTATTAAAAATGATAATCTTTACATTTATTTGATAAGAAAAATTACTCGCTTGATTCAAGGGAGACTGTGAGTACATTGTAGCATTTTGATATGATGGGGAGTGGAATCTCCAAAAGAAACACTCCCCACAAATGACTACTCATTGGCTTAGCGTATAAATTCCAGACACCAAATTGTGAAATTGGAATAATTTATCTCCTTTCTATATACCCCATTTCTCCACCAAGAAGAAAGCTTCATTTATCCTGATTTGATCACTACAAAAATATTTACTCAAAAAAAAAAAAACCCAGATCTATCCCTAAAGACAGCCCTGGGTTATTTATGTACCCTGCTAGGGACAGTCTGGCAGGGAAGGGTTGCTGTCATAAGAACTCTTTAAACTTTACAATACCTTGGGATTTATCTGGACAGCCTCTTCATTATAATGTAGGAGAGCTTTCTGACCTGAATGGGTGAGGTTCACCAACACCTGAAGACATGGGTACTTCCCCTGACCGCGGCAGTGCACACCACAGGTGAAGGCACAGTCCAGCCAGCGGTCCATGATATCTGTGTGGATGGCAGTGCAGGTCGATTCTTCTCTCTGAGCACTTCAATTTGAAAAAAATAAATGTTCTTCACTTACTAGAAAATTTCGTTCTACATTTCAGTGTGGTTATGAGCTTATGTATACAATGCCCAAGGCATCTGTGAACAAGGCATTTGTGTATTTTGAGGTGGCACAGGATCCTTACAGCAGGCACCTAATAATCAGGGAGCACAGAAGACAAAGAGTTGGGGTAAAGAGCCACGAAGTGCCAAGTCCCACCTCACTTCTGATGATCCTACTGGCATATTTCTCACTGTAACAATGGTTTTCAAACTTCAGAATCACCTGTGAGTTTGTTAGAATGAAGAATTTGTTAAACTGTGGATTCCAGCGCTTCATTCCAGAGATTCTGGTTTGGTAGGTCTGACTTGAGGCCCAGGAATCTTTATATTCAATAGTATTTAAGATGCAGGTATTTGGAGAAGCACAGTGTAAACAGTGTTAGCATTACCATAATACTGTAACCACCAAGATTCACACTTACTCAGGAATCTCATCATCTCTCATGCTTCATCATCTCAAGATGCACTGGCTTGTCCTGATGAAAATGTGCCTTTGGAAGGAGTCCAACTACGGGGCCGTTGGTCAACATAGCCTACACAATTGCTAGCAACAAGGTACAATTCCACATACCCACTACTTCCAAAGAGGCAAGTGCAAATCATACATGGAATCTCTCGTAGAATACTTACAATATTTTTGCTATCAGTTAAGTTCCTTGAGGTCAGGAGCTACGTCCAATTCATCTGTATGTTCCTCAAAGCATGAAACAGAATGCCTCTTACTGAGTAGATGTTCAGTAAGTGCTGTACTGAATTATATTTTTTTTTTGGAGGTGGGGACGGAGTTTCGCTCTTGTTGCCCAGGCTGGAATGGCACGATCTCGGCTCACTGCAATCTCCACCTTCTGGTTTCAAGTGATTCTCCTGCCTCAGCCTCCTGAGTAGCTGGGATTACAGGTGTGCACCATCATGCCCAGCTAATTTTTTGTATTTTTAGTAGAGATGGGGTTTCACCACATTGGCCAGGCTGGTCTTGAATTCCTGACCTCGTGATCCCCCCGCCTTGGCCTCCCAAAGTGCTGGGATTACAGGTGTGAGCCACCACTCCTGGCCTGAATTAAATTCTACTTGGAAAAAATTTGTTGAGAATTTTCACACGTACTACATATGCAAAACATCCTAGGTGCTATGAGAAATTACAAACAAAATTCCTGCCATGAAGATCTTGTGGTGATGTTGAAAAGAAAGGACATGTGTATATGTATGAAATAATTTGAAAACAAGTCCAAGACAAAGTAAACAAGGGGAAGAGGAAATGTTTTGATTTAATGTATGGGACCGGCTCTTTATATACCCTCACACTCACATGTAGGGGGACCCCTGTGTTTACTTACTGCTTCCTTAAACATAGTAAGTCAGATTAGCAAGCTCTAAAGTCAGAATGTTTGAAAAGCAGGGCCAGGCAGTGGCTCATGCCTATAATCCCAGCACTTTGGGAGGCCGAGGTGGGCAGATCACTTGAGGCCAGGAGTTTGAGACTAGCCTGGCCAACATGGCAAAACCACATCTTCACTGAAAATACAAAAATTAGCTGGGTGTGGTGGCGGGCACCTGTAATCCCAGATACTCGGGAAGCTGAGGCAGGAGAATTGCTTAAACCCGGGAGGCAGAGGTTGCAGTGAGCCAAGATTGTGCCACTGCACTCCAGCCTGGGCAACAGAGCCAGACTCTGTCCTACCCCCTCTCAAAAAAAAAAAAAAAAGTAAGAATGTTTTAAAGGCAATATTTAGCTAGGTTCATAATGCACTCTCATTAATCTCTTTGACCAAAATAATCATTCTCCCTTATTAATACAACAAACTTGAGACACGCCATGCAGTTTAACATAACCTCAAGGTCCGGGGTATAAAAATCACTAGATGTGGCCTAAGAAAAAATATTGGGCAAGTGAAAATACAAAAATGGAAAATAAGATTCTTTCATAGATTTAGCACTGCTTTTTCACTAAATTAATTTAGTCTGCTTTTTCACTAAATTAATTTATATACTTCTTTTAACTAGGCATCTTGAAATAATAATTTAGAGTTACCTTTTTATCTGTTAGAACTTGAGCTCTCTAAATCTTGACCAAGTACTGAACTGAGTATGATTTGAATTTTCCTTGAAGATTTTAGAAAGCTCCAAAATAGAGTAGGACATGCTGTCCTATGCACAAGGCCCCAGTCAGAGCCTTTCAGGTGGAACCAGGGATGTATTCAGGGCTCAAAAATGAGCATGTTCCTTCAATAGCATCAGGTGTGTATTTGGCTACAGCTGTGACAAAATTCATCATTTGACTGAGAGATGAGAGGCTGAGGGAGTAGGAGAGGTATGAGCTACCCAGGCCTTTTTAACTTAATACCACCCTTTATGGAGCAAACCTACTCTCTGAGATGGCACAACATGTAAGTTGAGAGAGATTAGAACTCACCACTCTTAGGCACTCACTTAATTTAACCAAATAATTTCCAGGAATGCTTAGAAAAGTGAAACTTAATTATGAGCAACAGTTTGGTACCAGCTTGCAGAAGGTACCCTCAAGCCATCTCCCAAATATGTCACATTTTTAAAAATAATCTGATCTGCCTGTGCACACACATGCACATTTACTCAACATTCCCATACATTCAAACATTCAATCACATTGTATAGACATGTAATGCAGATATATATATATAAAGGATAAGGGGAAAAGGAGTAAATGAAAAAGAGGAAAAAAAGACAGAATGAAGTCAGAAGTGAGGTACAGCCAAGACAGGAGAATCGCTTGAGCCTAGGAGTTTGAGACTAGCCTGGACAACATAGTGAGATCCCATATCGGAAAAAAAAAAGTTTAAAAAAAAGTGAGGTACAAACATGTAACCTGCAGACCATAGATCTCTTGTAGTTATGAGAACTGAGCTACAAATTTGCCTCTGGGCTTCCTAGCAGCCAAAGCAATGAAGGAAATACAACCAGATACAAGATTCCTGGTGTCCATTAAATGAAAGTAAGCTGGTTGATCAGGAGCAGCACAACTTCTCCTGGTGCTAATACCAGAGAGAAGGTTCTTCTGGAATTCTTCCAATAGTGGCACTGTATGCTGTGGTAAATGGTGACCTCTATATCTTTCCCCTAACAATGGTAACCTAGGAATGGCAGGAGATGAATCATAAATAACAGAAGTAGGCCACTCTCTTCCTTTTTATGACCCCTTTCCCTCACTGAACTCCTAGGCCTTCCTCTTCTACTCCCCCTGGGCCTTCTGTTGCTCTTTGGCTGTCAAAAACAAAAGTGGGGGCTGTTCAAAAATAAAGCACTGTCCAAAAAGCACCCCTTGCCTTCCTTTTACCCTGAACTGACCTGGCCCCAAAGTACCATATGTTGTATGGGCCATCCTACAAAATTAAATAGCTCCTCCCCTTCCCTAATCAGAACCCCTATTCCCCTTATTTCAGCAAACTTCATTTAGGTATTAAGAAGCAAGTCTTACGTCAGAATGACAGGCATATTATTTACTGGCTATGTGAACTTGGGCAAGTTACTTGGCCTTTCTGAGCCTCAGCACTTCTATCATGGGCTGCTGTAGGTTTAAGTAGGATAAAATATAGTATGTACAGAGCATACAGCATATACTTAATAAGTAGCAACTAAAGTTGACCCTTGAACAATTCAGAGTTTAGGGATGCCAACATCACACCCCCAACCCTGCAGTCGAAAATCTGCATGTAACTTTTGACTCCTAAAAAACTTAACTACTGGTCAGGCATGGTGGCTCATGCCTATAATTCCAGCACTTTGGGAGGCGAAGGTGGAAGGATGACTTGAGCCTAGGAGGTCACGACCAGCCTGGGCAACACAGGGGGACCCCATCCCTACAAATACTTTAAAAATTAGCCAAGTGTGGTGGCACACACCTGTGGTCCCAGCTACTTGGGAGGCTGAGGCAGGAGGATCGCCTGAGCCCAGGAGGTCTAGGCTGCAGTGAGCCATGATTGCGCCACTGTACTTCAGCCTGGGTGACAGAGTGAGACTGTGCATAAAAAAAAAAAAAAAAAAAAAAAAAAACCTTAACTACTAATAGCCTACTGTTGACTGGAAGCTTTACCAATAAATAGTTGATTAAGACATATGTTGTGTTTATATGTGTTATATACTGAATTCTTACAATAAAATAAGCTAGAATAGCCAGGCACAGTAGCTCATACCTGTAATCCCACTGACTCAGGAAGCTGAGATGGGAAGATTGCTTGAGCCCAGGAGTTCAAGACTGCAATGAGCTATGATCATACCACTGCACTCCAGCGTGACAGAGCAAGACCCCTTCTCTAAAAAAAAAATAAATAAATAAGCTAGAGAAAAGAAAATGTTATTAAGAAAATCATGGCCAGGCATGGTGGCTCACGCCTGTAATCCTGGCCCTTTGGGAGGCCGAGGCAGGCAGATCACAAGGTCAGGAGTTCAAGACCAGCCTGGCCAACATGATGAAACCCCATCTCTACTAAAAATACAAAAATTAGTGGGTGTGGTGGCAGGTGCCTGCAGTCCCAGCTACTCAGGAGGCTGAGGCAGGAGAATTGCTTGAACTCAGGAGGCGGAAGTTGCAGTGAGCCAAGATCGTGCCACTGCACTCCAGCTGGGCAACAGAGCAAGACTCTGTCTCAGAAAAAAGAAAAGAAAAGAAAATCATGAGGAAGAACAAGATCATGTCATTTGCGGGAACATGTATGAAATGAAGCTGGAAGCCATTATTCTCAGCAAACTAATGCAGAAACAGAGAACCGAACACTGAATGTTCTCACTTAGTGGGAACTGAATGATAAGAACACATGGACACACAGCGGGGAGCTACACATACTGGGGCCTCTCAGTGGGCAGGGGGAGGGAGAGCATCAGGAAGAATAGCTAACGCATGCTGGGCTTAATACCCAGGTGATGGGTTGATATGTGCTGCAAACCACCATGGCACACGTTTACCTTTATAACAAACCTGCACATTCTGCACATGTTCCCCAGAACTTAAAATAAAAGTTGAAGAAAAAAATCATAAGGAAGAGAAAACATGTTTACTGTTCACTAAATGGAAGTGGATCATCATCCTCTTCATGTTGAGTAGGCTGAGGAGGAGGAGAAAGAGGAGGGATTGGTCTTACTGTCTCGGGGTGGCACGCACAGAAGAAAATTCATTTATAAGTGAATTCTCGAAGTTCAAACCCATGTTGTTCAAGGGTCAACTGTATCACTACATGCACTGAATAAAGAACCTAATTAAAAGAAAACGAAGGAAACGAATATGTATTGAGCAACTACTATGTGCCAGGTAGACACTGTCAAACTCAAAAAATCAGACTCAAAAAACTTTTATTTTGCTTGCATACAAGGTTTAACTCTCTCCTGGAATACTAACATTTTAAGGTGAGGATTTATGACCTAAATGAATAAACTATAATTTGTGGATTATGTGTTTGGAGGTATATATAGATTATGAGAACGGAGGAGGCAGTGCAGGGGAATATCTTTGACCTTCTCACCACCTCTTCCGCCACACCCAGCTGCCCCCAGCACTGAGAGAGGAAGAGGAATTGCGTTTTTCTTTTTCTAGACCATGTCAGAGAGTCACAGATTGAGAAACCAAAGCCAGCCTCTCCTCCTTTACCGTTGTGCCTGTATCTTATCTGAATCGGAAACTCTAGATTTCCTTCCTCTGTTTCTTACCTGAGCATAAAAGGCTTTAGAATGGTTGTTCCAAGCAAGAAGAACATTAGGACTGAGAAGCCCATCATGGCAAACCCCAGCAGCACGGCTCAGTCCTCTCCAGCACTGGACGACAGCCTCTTGTGCACATCCAGTGGGTCTCCATCACTGTAGTCTGTCTCTCTCTTCTTCCCTGAGGCAGGAAAGGCTGTCCTTTGGGAAAAGGGAGAAGGAGATACTGCAGTGGGCTCATAAACAAGTGGCAACATTTCCAATCCATGGGGAATGGAGGGATAATCTCATTTGCTGCCCACCTGTGTCTCGTGACAGGATGAATGCAACACAGTGAAATCCCAGTTCAGAGCTTGGTGACAAGTCCATCTAAATAAGCTAAAGTGATGTGTAAGCAAGTTTTTTTAAATATATTGTGGCAAATAAGACTAAGGAATGTTGCCTCATGCAAGTCTGTAGCGATCTATTTAATCAATGACTAGAGAATGTTGCATGTAAATAAGTGTTATGAACTTTGTTACCTTTCAGGGATATTGCACTTTCCTCCTGAAATTCTTTTTACATTCTCCTTTGAATTCCACATGGAAAGAATGACTCAAAAAGTTCACATCTGGAATTAACAGCATCCTGAACAGGGCTTGACTTGTTCTTTCATATTCACCTGTTGGAAAGGCAGCATATCCACCACCAGGATTTCTGGCCACTACCCAGTCCGCTCAGAATTATGAAGTCGTCATGGCTTCTTTGCTCCACTCACCCTCCTTCTCCTCTCTGGCCACTCACGGTTCTGCATAAGTGTCCCTGCATTTCTTCTCTCCCTCTCCTCCCTGTGCCTGCAAACCCGCTCCAGCAGAGGATGAGATACATTCTCGCAGGGCAGGGTGTCTGGTGAACAGAAGAGCCCAACACAAAGGTCGCAAACCGGTGGGCATGGAGGCATCCGGTCCACAGATGTGCTTTGTTTGGCCTTCTCTGTCGTTTTTTTTTGTTTGTTTGTTTGTTTTTGTGTGTGTGTGTGTGTGTGTGTGTGTGTGTGTGTGTTTGAGATGGAGCCTCGCACTGTTGCCCAGGCTGGGCACGATCTCTGCTCACGGCAACCTCCTCCACCTCCCAGGTTCAAGCAATCCTCCTGCCTCGGCCTCCCAAGGAGCTGGGATTACAGGCTCCCGCCACCACGCCCAGCTAATTGTTGTGTGTTAAGTAGAGACATACCATGTTGGCCATAATGGCCTCCAACGCCTGACCTCATGATCCACCCACCTCAGCCTCCCAAAGTGTTGGGATTACAGGCGGGAGCCACCGCGCCCGGCCCGGCTGATTATTATTTTTTAATGTGGGATAACTTGTTAAGACCTTAAAAATCATGACATTTCTCATAAAAATGCTGAGTCCTGACTTCGGAAATAATCTCAAGATGCACGTCCCTGCAGATGAACAGCAGGCCAAGCCGAGCAGTGGCTGCCCCTGTGGAAGGTGTGTTCTCTAGTTTGCCACAATCCCTCCACTTCCTATAGTGTCACTGATTTGCCATTCCCTGCTCAGTAGCCACTTGAGTTCCAGAAGTATCTCTATTTTAAGAAGGTTAATGAAATCTTAAGCCAAACAAATGCAGCACTAATGGTAGAAGCACAGGCTCTATCAAGCTTCCTAAAAGCTTTCTACATTTTAAAGCCAAGCACAAACTCCATCAAGGAAATTACTGGGTTTTTTTCCCCCAAAAGCACAGTTTATGCCTATCCCACATCTTTCCCCTTCCCTCTCCCTAGCTCCCTTTTCCCCCAGCAGCATCTTTCGGTTCTAAAGCGAGTAAGAGGAATGTCAGACAGTCCAGAATGTTCCAAGAGCCTATACCGGGAAGCACCAACCTCAGAAGATGGCGGCACTCCATGGTTAATACTTCTTTAGGAGCCGAGGATCTAGTTTAGGAATTAGTTGTCTTTGATATTTTACTCATCCTCTATCATCCTACCAGCAAAGAAGGGGCATGGAAAAAAAATTTAATGAAATTTGAACCTGCACTTTTTTTTTGAGATGGAGTCTCGCTCTGTCATCCAGGCTGGAGTGCAGTGGCGTGATCTCGGTTCACTGCAACCTCCGTCTCCCGGGTGCCAGTGATTCTCCTGCCTTGGCCTCCCAAGCAGCTGGGATTGCAGGCACGTGCCACCACGTGGAGCTATTTTTTGTATTTTTAGTAGAGACGGGTTTAAACTGTTAGCCAGGATGGTCTCGATCTCCTGACCTTGTGATCCACCCATCTTGGCCTCCCAAACTGTTGGGATTACAGGCGTGAGCCACTGCACCTGGCCACATTTTCTAGTTTATCAATAAATATGACAGATTGATTAAAGAAAGTTTTAGCCCTAAAGCAGAGTTTGGTGGTTTTTGTAGTTTCCAGGACCCAATATCCTGCATTTCCCTTGTGCTCTAAAGCTGGACTTTAGTTGCTCTGTAGCATAAGGTATCCCAGAGATTTATTGTGAGATATCCTTGGAATCCATGGGTAAAGAGGCTTATAATGAGGTTACTATGGGATTTCTAATACATTCTTTAACATACCCAATTATAAATGGTATGTTATAAAAAACTAGCATAACCTGATTCTAATTTAGGAATAAGACAGACCTGTAGTACCCTAGACAAGACTTTTTATTTATAATTTTTCTGCCCACTGTGTTCCAAGGCTTTATGAAAAGTTGACAACCTCATAAGTCACTTGGAAAGAAGTTATTTCATGTGTGGGGAAGGGATAATATAAAATAATCATAAAAAATTAAAACGTAGATGTTTGGCCGGCCGCAGTGGCTCAACGCTTGTAATCCCAGCACTTTGGGAGGACAAGGTGGGCAGATCACCTGAGCTCAGGAGTTTGAGACCAGCCTGACCAAATGGTGAAACCCTGTCTCTACCAAAAATACAAAATTTAGCCAGTCATGGTGGCATGTGTCTGTAATCCCAGCTACTCGGGAGGCTGAGGCAGGAAAATCGCTTGAACCCGGGAGGCCGAGGTTGCAGTGAGCCAAGATCGCGCCACTGCATTCCATCCAGCCTGGGCGACAGAATGAGACTCCATCTCAAAAAAAAAGTAAATAAATAAATTAAAAATTAAAAAAAAAATCACATAGACATGTTTTTATTATTGCAAAAGTAACAGGCTTCTGTTTCAGTGGTATGGTACACTAGACACCCACTGTAACTACAGACAACTAAAACTTCTGGCCAAAGCTTAAAAAGAATTGGAAATACTCAAAAGACAAAACTATGTGAAAGTAGGAACCCAGAGAGGAAGGTGGACAGAAGTAAAGTTTTAACTTGAGGGCATTTGCGGAACTTGGTGAACTTGAGCTTTTGTTTCACCATTTTTAGGGTCACGGGGACAGGAGACAATGTCCAAGGTCTATCCGAGGTATGCAGTTTAATATACCATCCAACTAGAGCTGGAACCCCAAAGGACTTAAAAGTCAGTGTCAGGTTGAACTGGAAATAGCCCCTCCCCCTTAACTCCCACTGCACCACTCCATAGGAAATGGCAAGGAAAATGCCTTTCTCAAACCTTAACACTGACTAAGGGAGGAAAACTACAATCTCCTCTGAAATTTTAGATAATCCTCAAGGTGATCCTCAAGGGAGTTTACAGCCTGAATTCGTACTACCTGGGTAATACAACAATCTCAAACTAAGAATTTCGTGTAATGTTGTTTAAGTACATGGTGCCCTCTGCAAACTGGCAAATTTAAATACATATGTTCTCTGTAGGCACACACCTTTAACTTAGGCCTTAAAATAATTCTATAGGCCAGGTGCAATGGCTCACGCCTGTAATCTCAGCACTTTTGGAGGCCGAGGTGGGCGAATCATGAGGTCAGGAGATTGAGACCATCCTGGCCCACATGGTGAGAAACCCCATCTCTACTAAAAATACAAAAAATTAGCTGGGTGTGGTGGCATGTGCCTGTAATTCTAGCTGCTGCAGCAGGAGAATCACTTAAACAAGGAGTCGGAGGTTGCAGTGAGCCAAGATCACGCCACTGCACTCCAGCCTAGCAAAAGAGCGAGACTCTGTCTCAAAAACAAAAACAAAAAAAGTATATAAATGTCCAAGGAGTATATCCACTCATTTAAAAATCATAAAACACAACAGCCAGGCGTGGTGGCTCACGCCTATAATCCCAGCACTTTCAGAGGCTGAGGCAGCTGGATCACCTGAGGTCAGGGGTTTGAGATGAGCCTGGCCAACATGGCAAAGCCCTGTCTCTACTAAAAACACAAAAATTAGCCAGGTGTAGTGACGGGCACCTGTAATCCCAGCTACTCGGGAGGCTAAGGTGGGAGAATTACTTGAACCCAGGAGATGGATGTTGCAGTGAGCTGAGATCGTGCCACTGCACTCCAGCCTGGGCAACAGAGTAAGACTTCGTCTCAAAGGAAAAAAAAAAGGATATTAATTCTATAAAGTAATAATAATTGTAATTATCCTATTAATATTATGTCTTGTGGGGTTAAAAGAAAAGATAAATACATGACAAGAGGATATAATTTAGAGGGGGTAACAGTGGTAATTTTTCCATGGGGAAAGATAAAGACATTAATTTCATGTTGAAAAGTTCAAATATGCATGCTACATAGAAATATCACCTTTCTCTACTCTTTTAGGTGACACTCCAGAAATTCCAAACTAGTAGAGAGACAAAGAAGGGAAGGGGAAGAAATCAATCCAAAAGAAGGCAATAAAGAAGAGGGGAAAACTCATGAAAAAGTCAGGACAAATAGCACAAAATAACATGATAGAATAATGTTATTGCATCAGTATATCAGTAATTACTATAAAACTAAGCGGAGTAAATGATCCAGTTAAAAGATAGAGATTAGGGCTGGCTGTGGTGGCTCATGCCTATAGTCCTAACACTTTGGGAAACCAAGGTGGGAGGATCACTTGAACAGAGGATCACTTGAACCCAGGAGTTCGAGACCAGCCTGGGCAACATAGCGAGACCCTGTCTCTACACAATAAAAATTAAAACACCATCCAGTTGTAGCAGCACACTTATAGTCCTAGCTGTTCAGGAGGCTGAGCCAGGAGGATTCCTTGAGCCCAGGTGTTTGAGGCTGCAGTAAGCTGTTGAGAGGTGACAATGTGCTAGCAGCTAGCTGGCTCTCAGCACCTCCTCAGGCCAGGACGTTCACTCTGCTCAAGCATGAGGAAC